TATCTATCTATCTATCTATATATATATATATATATATATATATATATATCTGTTTTGACCCTAAATTGCCTAAAAACCAATGCAGATACACTTCTACTATAATGTGTTTAAACTATTAAAATATAAAAACTATAAAATGCATGCAAGACTTTTTCTAAAAAAATCATTCTTATCTGTACGTATGTATTGTGAATCTCAATTGCAATACATTGCACCAAAGTTCAAATAAGTTTCACGTTTTTCAATATATCTCAAGATAAATCTCTAGATATTGAAAATCTTTAGTTGTAAAAACAGGATTTTTCTGTATCTTAAATTTGAGAACTTGAGGCGTTCTGAGAAGGCTCAAAGGTCGAACGGTAATCCGTATAACTGGTTTGGCAAACTAAGTATTTAAAAAAAGAACGAGATTAATTTCCGTAAATTGTTTCTATAAAAGCCATTTCAGAACTGAAACCTTATCCACACAAAAAATTCATTTCTTCTGAAAGAATTTCTTTTTCTTTTAGTCATTCATTGTAAACTGTACAGGTAACATGTCAGGAAACAATCTTGTAAAAAAAATTTTATTTAAAGATTTTCAGGCTTTCCTGACAGCAATTATTCCTTTATTTAGACTAGATCCTTGTACAATGTATAAACACCTTGAGTATGCATGAAATGGTTTCACCCTTGAATTGTTTCTGATGAAATTTTGTTTGTCTTTATACAAATTCATCAAACAGGAGATTCCATCATTATATATTATGTTGTTGGATTTGAATGTCTGTTTACAAATCCAAAAACTATTTCCGTCCTCAGGGAAAGCTCTTTATCTGGGTGAGAACTGAGAATAAAGGTGTTAAGCAAGTCAGGGTTGGTTTCTATGTAATATCGTCTCTGCTATAAAATACAGAATATAACAAAGACGATGGGTAAAGCGAGGAATAAAGGAACTGAACGCACAAACTATAATTTTATAATATCTTTATCTTTGCAGCCTGATGTGTGTAAACCTTTGATATTTCAAACTTTGACTGTTTCCTTTATGTAACAGAATTCATAAGAGGTCTACATCACCTCTGGTTGTGTGTAAAGATATTATAGAGATGATAAGAGTTCGAGGCGAGTAATCAGTTCCTTTAATAAGCAACCATGGAAAATGAGAACACATAGAAAGCGAAGAAGGCATTGTGCATTTATTGATTAATGGGTAAAAGGAAAAAGAGGAATTTTTAGAGAAAGGTTTTGTTAAATCTGTAAATAAATGATTTGTATTGGAATTCAGGGATTTTAGAATTTAATTGTGTTTCTCTGGATTTCAAGAATTGGAGGTTTTAATAGGAATTGTCCTGGATCTAAGGGATTTCAGGTTGAGGGAGTGATTGTCATAGATCTATGGAATTGCAGTTATAGAGAAGGATTGTCTTGGATCTCTGGGATTGTAGGGTTAAGGAGGGATTGTACTAGATAAATGATATTGCAGGGGTTAGAAGAATTTGTCCTGGATTTAAGATTGAAGGTTTAGGGTGGGATTGTCCTAGATTTAAAGGATTTCAGGTTTAGCGTGGGATTGTCTTGGATTTAAAGAATTGCAGGTTTAGGGTGGGATTGTCCTGATTTTAGAGATTGCAGGTTTAGGTTAGGATTGTCCTGGATTGAAGAGATTGCAGGTTTAGGGTGGGATTACCTTCTCCTGGAGGTAGTCCAGCTAGTGGAGCATGAGGGTCAACATGGGTCACACTATTCTGGTGAGGAGCTCTCCAATCTCCATCTACTGTTAGTGTAGTACATAATAACAGCAGTACAGCAGGGTTGTACCAAACATGTTTTTCATAATATTTTACACTAGGTAACAGGTTTTTGGTTTAAGATATCAACCAACTATCTTCTCAAATAACTAGATTTATATAATTTTAAGACGAGAAAAAGATTTTCTATTAACTAAAAGTTTTGTTATCAACTGTCTGTTACCAACCTGAGGACTTATCCTTCCAGAATAATTACGTTGATGAGCGATAAATTTGATCAGATATTGGTGTTATTGTATGATTTACCAATTATTGATCAGATATTGGTGTTATTGTATGATTTACCAATTATTGATCAGATATTGGTGTTATTGTATGATTTACCGATTATTGATCAGATATTGGTGTTATTGTATGATTTACCGATTATTGATCAGTAGATTCTTAATACATCCCGGATTTCACTTAGAGTTTTAAATTGATAGAAGACAACAAAAAATTCTAAGTCATTTTTTTTTTGTGGGGGGGGAAGTTAAATCTATATTTTATTTCTTACGAAAAACGAACAAAATATTAAAATCTTTTAATTATTTTTGCCTTTTATTTAACGGTTCAAAATTAACAATTTAACCTTAAACTGGTTCAAAATTAACAATTTAACCTTAAACTGGTTCAAAATTAACAATTTAACCTTAAACTGGTATAAATCGAATTATTTGTCAAATAGTCCAGACCTTTGACAACAATAAACCTAAAACAATCCCTTTTTGAGGCAATTTACCACTGTAAATATGTTTATTTTATATATTTATTATTTATTTACGAAAATTAGTTTTATTTACTTTCCTACCTTAAACAAATTAATGATATATCATTAAATTAAATATTTTTCAACTAAATCTATTTTCTCTATTTCTAGAAAGTTTATCAAATATAATTTAGATTATTTTATCATTGAGATCCATGCAGGACAAATATTATTTAAAAGGACTGTTCATTAAATGTCAAGTTACCCTCCATTTAAAAAGTTACATGATCAATTCACAACAGTATCCATTAACCTTTTTTATAAATACTAACACCATCTTTCCTCGTGTTCTATTTTAAAACATTTTGGATAGAAAAACAAGGATATCCCGATCATTTTTGAATTGACAATTGTTAAAGGGTACCTCATGTATGGCTTTGTAAACGGAGGGTCGCTTAAAATTACGCTGTCAGTTCCTTTAACAATTAAATTTTATATTTAAAAATGTATATCTCCTAGTTTGAACCAATTAACCATACTATTTTTAACAAACTTCAACTTTCATCAAAAAGAATTGTTCAACGTTTTCGCAGTTTAAAAATAAAATGAAAATATGCAGATCTATATAATAAAACATATTTTTATATTGCTATAGCTGGCCGAACGGCTGGACCTAATTTGCTGAAATTTGTTGAGAGAACCCTTGGGTACCCCGGGGGTAACCTATAGGCTAATTAAAAAAATATATTTTTCAATTCTTCAGGCAACACCGGGCACAATTCAGCTAAAATCATAATTTAAACTCAAGCGCGGGTAAACGGCCTAGGAAACTATTAGTAACCTGGGCAACGCAGGGCACTACAGGTATTATTTTATAAAGGGAAAACCACTAAACAGTGCAGTCAAATAGTAAAACTAATTCTCATGTACAACTCTTTAATTGATTTTTAAAGGCATGTGTTTTTAGTTCATGGCTTTGGAAATAGAAAGGGCCGGCTGTATTATAAGGTACAAAGTCAAACAGTTGATCCTACAGTTCAACCCAGAACATAATTTATAAAATGTCGTCTTCTAAACCTACTACTATAATGGAATGCTGAAGATATTTAATTTTTTAGTAAAATGATTATCCGGAGCTCTTTAAAACTGTTCCCGAATATTTTATGGCTATTTATTTATTTTACAGTTACCGAGATTTAGGGATAATAGTATGCAAAAATGTCAAGACGACATTTTACAGATTCTTTCGACGGCTCCAAAGTTCTGGGTTTAACTAAAATTCTTAAGTTAGTTTTGATTAAGAATAAACCTATATTAGCATAAATTTTAAAACTAAAAGAAAATAATGAAGAATTCTCTTAAATATGTTTAGTTTCTAACCTGCAGCTGCTGCTTGTCCAGGCTTAGGTCGACGACCTCTACCAGCTCCTAGTTACATTTTATACCATTTATTTAGGAAAATAAACATATTTTTATCAGATCTGAGGAAAAGTTTAGAATTTTCTTGTAAAAAGAGTTTAATGCCAATCAAATTGTAAAGAGTTAAAAGTGTTAAAATTAGATCTATTAAACTGATGAAGGGTAAAAATGTTAAATGCTAATGAAGTGGTGGTAAAAAGTGGAAAAGAAATGCAACCTGAAATTAATCTATAACAGTTAGCGCAAATATTAAAAGTAAAAAACTACGTAAAATGAATAAGCCAGTTTATGCCAATTGAATTTACCTTGTCGTTTAATTATAAATTTGTTAAACCAACCTTGCTGTTGTTGTTGATGCTGTTGCTGCATCTGTTGTTGTCGCTGGAGCTGTCCTTGAACCTGATGCTGTTGTATCTGCTGTTGTTGTTGCTGTTGCTGTTGAAGCATCTGAGCCTGGTGAGGTTTAGGACCAAGGGAACTGGTTCGGGTTCTAAATACAAAATATTTAATTTAAGTTTAATAATTTACAAATGAATGGAATTTATACCTTAGGGTTACCCTGTCGTAGTACCTTCTTGGATTGGGATGACCCCTGTATAGTATCTACCTGGATTGGGATTAACCCCTGCTGTAGTACCTACATTGTTATGGTTGACCCCTGCTGTAGTATCTACCTGGATTGGGTTGACCCCTGCTGTATTATAATGTATCTATTTGGATTGGGTTGACCCCTGCTATAGTATCTATCTAGATTGGGTTGCCCCCTGCTATGGCATCTACCTGGATTGCTTTGACCCCTGCTGTAGTATCTACCTGTATTGGGTTGACCCCTGCTATAGTATCTTCCTGGATTGGTTGACCCCTGCTGTATTATAATGTATCTACCTGGATTGGGTTGACCCCTGCGATTGTATCTACCTGGATTGAGTTGACCCCTGCTATGGCATCTACCTGGATTGGGTTGACCCCTGCTGTAGTATCTACCTGTATTGGGTTGACCCCTGCTATAGTATCTCCCTGGATTGGGTTGACCCATGCTGTATTATAATGTATCTATTTGGATTGGGTTGACCCCTGCTATGGCATCTACCTGGATTGCGTTGATCCCTACTGTAATATCTACCTGTATTGGGTTGACCCCTGCTATAGTATCTCCCTGGATTGGGTTGACCCCTGCTGTATTATAATGTATCTACCTGGATTGGGTTGACCCCTGCGATTGTATCTACCTGGATTGAGTTGACCCCTGCTAAAGTATCTACCTGGATTGGATTGACCCCTGCTGTATTATAATGTATCTACCTGGATTGGGTTGACCCCTGCTATAGTATCTACCTGGATTGGGTGGACCTCTGCTGTAGTACCTACCTGAATTGGGTTAAGCCCCGCTATATGTATATACCTGGATTGGGTTGACCCCTGCTATAATATCTACCTGGATTGGGTTGACCCTGCTATAGTACCTACCTGGGTTTGGTTGACCCCTGCTATAGTATCTACCTGGATTGGGTTGAACCCTGCTATAGTATCTATCTGGATTGGGTTGACCCCTGCTATAGTATCTACCTGGATTGGGTTGACCCCTGCTGTTGGGAGGTTGTAACTACAGCTGATGTGGATGGTTGAACCCTGAAACAGGATTTACGAAATATCTACATTACAAGGGTGAAATGAGTTCTAAAATTTAGACTCACTGGAAGTTTAACCATGGCCTCTAGTTTACTGTTTTTTTTTGGGGAGGGGGATTTCAGCCCAGATTCTTGTAAGGATGTTTATATATATATGACAGGAGAAAAGAAATTTCAGGTAATCACGTAACATGTTACTTTCTTTATGGGCTATTGTTTTACATTGATTTGCTCCACATCAATACCAACTTTCTTAGAAGATGTAAATTCCTTTAGTTTAATTGATTATATAAAATATGTTGGACAATTTATAAAAAACATCTTTTTTGTAGCTTACGTTGATTCTGGTGGATCTTGGGTCTTGGGGAAGGCACTTTTCTGATCAGTTTCACGAGATAAAAGTCGGGGTTCAGGTCCTCCTGTCATTCATTCATTTCGTTAATTTTGTCAATTTTGTCTATTTTGTTCATAGGTCTTTCTTTTCATTTCGTTCATTCCGTTCATTTCGTTCATTTAGGCCATTTCGTTCATTTCATTCGTTTCGTTCATTTTCATTATTTCGTTCATTTGGTTAATTTATTTCATTTCGTTCATTTCGTTCATTTTGCTCATTTCTTTTATTTCCCCATTTCGTTAATTTGTTTCATTTCGTTCATTTCGTTCATTTTGTTCTTTTCGTTCATTTCGTTCATTAAGCTAATTTTGTTAATTTGTTCTCAACAACAACAAAACAGACACAAATTAGAGAATCATGAATTCCTTGATATCCCCGCGAGCGTGAGCCCTCGTAGCTGTGTGCTCGCGGTCGTGTTCCTCGTGCAATATAATAATCACCGGACCTTGGGACATTCCTCCTAGATAGATAGATAGATAGATAGATAGATAGATCGCTATATAGATAATTAGATGGATAGGTAAGATGGATAAATATCAAGATAGTTAGATTTATAGGTTATTTTGAAGCTAGTTCGAAAGATAGGTAAGTATCAAGATAGTAAGACGTATACAGGTAAATATTTGGATAGACAGGAAAATATCAAATAGTTAGATAGATAGGTAAGTATCAGAATAATAAGAAAGATAGGTAAGTATCAGAATAGTAAGATAGATAGGTAAGTGTCAAAATAGTTAGATAAACAGTTAAGTATCAAAATAGTAAGATAGATAGGTAAGTATCAAAATAGTAAGATAGATAGGTAAGTATCAAAATAGTAAGATAGATAGGTAAGTATCAAAATATTAGATAGATAGGCAAGTATCAAAATAGTTGAGATATATAGGTAAGTATCAAAATAGTTAGATAAACTAGTTAAGTATCAAAATTGTAAGATATATAGGTAAGTATCAAAATAGTAAGATAAATAGGTAAGTATCAACATATAGTTAGATAAATAGGTAAGTATCAAAATATTAGATAGATAGGTAAGTATCAAAATATTAGATAGATAGGTAAGTATGAGAAAAAGTTGGATGAATAGGTAAGTATGAAGTTAGTTTACCTATCTGACCACCCGTCCCTATCTTCCAACCATTCAGAATCAGAATCACTAAAGTCTGCGTTGTCAGCGTAACTAAACAGGTAAATTGATTTTTAAGAAAAATCTTTTTTATAGAAGAAAAGCCTATTTGTATGGACTAAATATGTGGAACATTTTTTTACAAAAACAATTTTATCACTTTAAAAAAATTTACCTGGAAACAAATTTACAGAAAAGCTTTACAAGCCTCATAAAAAATAACTGAGCATTGGTTGTATACATGATACTCCAATCGTATATTTAATTACTCAATCTATCTACATTCTACATATCTTATTTTATTTTAATCTATGGTTAAGAAATCAACATTTAGAGGACAATATGTGATTGGAAATCCAGATTTTTTTCAAAATTAAATAAGTATTTGAATTTGTGATATTTGTTTATAAAAAACTAATACGGAACACTGCAAAATATATTTGGGATTCATGATTTTATAGTTTGCATTTTTAGACTTTCTTGAATGTCACCCATTACGTCACAGATATCTCTACGGATTGTATAGAATCTGAATCCGATTCTCAATATTAGGAAATTGTTAAAATTCTATTGGTAAATATTGTTTTCGTTCTAATTTTTTTTAAACATTGATTGCTACTAAACGCGACAAAGTTCTAGAAGAACTTGAACAAATGTTGTCACCTTAACAAGACGAATTTTCCCAACCCATGAAATTAAAAATTTACGCCAATTATAGATCTTATTACGCTAGAAGGGTTGAAATTAAACACTATTATTATTAAGTCTTACACTGCTATATAAGCAATCCTAATATTATGTTTAACTTTTTCAAACCAACCTAAAAAGTTCTGATCGAATTTAAAATACAAATACGACAAATCTATCTTTATTAGCTTAACTACTATGTTGGCCTGAGAATACTTTTAACAGATTTTTTAAATCCTATATATTTGTCGAAGAACATAGATATTTCAAACTATATAATTCTGCAAATCAAAAAATCTAAGTTGAACTTATCATTTTTTTACCACCAGGTTGCAAAGACGTAGGAAATAGAAAATGTGGGATTTTACCCAAAAACTCAATCACTTTTGTGATGAACTTTTGAACAAATCATCTTTCGTTATTTTTATACTCATTGAGAGAAATGTTTTCAACCATGAAAAAACATTATCATTTTACAAGAACAGATTAAAATATGCTTTTTGAAGTTTATTTTATAGAAAATCAATGTAAGTTTAAGTTTATTAAACTGAACAAAATAAACCAAGGCAAACCCATGTTGATAAAGTCCTAGATGGAGTGGGTCCGATCTAAACCAAATAATTACTATAACTCGACAGCTACAGTACAGTATTAAAGTGATTGTTTACCAAAAATCAGGGAAACCCCAGGTAAATCTTATCAATAATATTCTGTAGGGATAGTTCAAATTCCTCCAGGGGACTGGACATACTGAAATTCAATAGATGGTGCTAGTTGTACATTGTACACATCAACATCAGATGGTGCTAATTGTAAACAATGCACTGTGTACACCTCAACAACAGATGGTGCTAGATGTAAACGTGTACACTGTACACTGTTCACATCAACAACAGTATACTCTACACTGTACACTGTACACATCAATAACAGATGGTGCTAGTTGTGCACTGTACACATAAACAACACTTTACTCTACACTGTACAAATCAACAACAGTATCCTCTACACTGTACACTGTACACATCAACAACATTATTTCTACACTGTACACTGTACACATAAATAACAGATGGTGCTAGGTGTACACTTTACACATCAAAACCAGTACACTGCACAGTGCACACTGAACACTGTACACATCAGTAACAATTATCAAAGGTACAGAAAACTCGCCACAAGTAATCTTTCTTAATCCCTATATTTTTAATATTTCAAACTGGGACTCTGATCTAACAGATTAAATAGTTTGAAATATAAATGTCGACGACATTAAGATGCAATAATATTTATATTGATATGGATTAGAAAATTTGAGTTTGTGGCGATATTTCAGTCCATTTCTTTAATTAAAAAAAAAAATCAGAAAACAAATTTGTTCTGACCTTAACGGTGTTCCATGGTGTGGCAACCTGCTGTCCAGGGAATGGAATCTAAAAAGAAATAAATAAAAAAAGCAAAATTTTTTAAAAATCTACTCAAAGCATTTTGTTTTTAACAATTTGAAGATTTTTTTTGTAAAATTTTGAAACGAGAGTTCAAGAGTTTTCAGACTAATCTTGTTTTTTTAAACACTCTTTAAAATTTGTAAACACTCCCTTTAAACCAAAATTATAACTCACGTAAAAGAAACCTTTTTCAAAATCAAATTTCAAATTGTTGCCTATCCTCTTTAGTCTTGTTCCATTTATAGCTTGAATCTATTAAGATAACCCCGTCGTCATATTTCACCCAGAGGCGAGGATAGACTAACCAGCAACCAATGGTTGAGAAGAATGTTAAAAATTAATGTTTCTTCATCATAATGCGACAATGTCGCTCTCCAGCACTTGGAATAATTGTAATTCATGCAGTGTAGAGTGTTGACAGTGCAGTCCAAAAAATGTAATATATTACATAAAATTATAAATATTTTAGATAGATTCAAACGGATTTAAAATAAATGCTTTTTAAAACTCAGACGTAGGAAACGAAACAAACTTTTTAAAATTGAAACTTTAAACAAATGTCGTAGCATTTCTAACGACATTCGTTTACAGTCATAAAGACAATCTGAAGGAAAGTCTCATGATATTCTGAAAACAACACCCAGAATACTGATCAAGTTTCCAATAGATATTTTTCTAATAATAGTCCGGGATATTAGAAACAGCTTGATATTTCAAACCTGTTGTGAGATAATGAGCTACCATCTCGGCACCGATCATCATAACTATCACTTCGCCATCGATCCTCACGTCCATTTAGTTTTCTAAAAAATTATTATTTTTTTTAATCAGCGCTTATAATCTTCAGCAGTGGCACTAACCACAGAGTAATTTTCAAGGAGACATTATCTAAATTCTTTCACTGTATTCTGAAATATTGGATATACTGTACTTTTAGATATGCATTTATTTTGACACATTTACAACTCTGAAATTTATTGATAAATAAATATACTTACTGTCTTCTGTGCGGTGAATGGGACCGATGATTACGTCGTCTTCTACCATCTACTAGATTATCCCTAATAATGATTGATTCTATGAGTGCATATCAATACTATTCACAGTCCAGTCGTCTTCAACCACCATTAGATACCCCTCGTCATAATAAATATATTTTTACCTATAAAGTGAATACCCCTCATCATAATAAATATATACTTACCTATAAAGTGAATACCCCTCGTCATAATAAATATATTTTTACTTATAAAGTGAATACCCCTCGTCATGATAAATATATGTTTACCTATAAAGTAAATACCCCTCGTCAGTATAAATAAATATTTACCTATAAAGTGAATACCCCTCGTCATAATAAATATATATTTACCTATAAAGTGAATACCCCTCGTCATAATAAATGTATGTTCACCTATAAAGTGAATACCCCTCGTCATAATAAATATATGTTTACCTATAAAGGGAATACCCCTCGTCATAATAAATATATGTTTACCCATAAAGTGAATACCCCTCGTCATAATAAATATATATTTACCTATAAAGTGAATACCCCTCGTCATAATAAATATATGTTTATTGTTTACCTATAAAGTGAATACCCCCGTCATAATAAATATATGTTTTCCTATAAAGTGAATACCCCTCGTCATAATAAATATATGTTTACCTATAAAGTGAATACCCCCCGTCATAATAAATATATATTTACCTATAAAGTGAATACCCCTCGTCATAATAAATATATATTTACCTATAAAGTGAATACCCCTCGTCATAATCAGAAACGGGGGAATCTGAAAGCCAGCCTTGTCTTGAATCTCCATGGTGGGAAGCACGGCCCTTGAATACAAAATAACATCAATTATAACTGAAGTAAAATATATGCACGTAAGATTGAAATATATGTTTTTTATCATAACTTCTATATTGAAGAGCTATTGAGAAGAATGTCACCAAATAAATTGCCCTTCTTATACGTAAAATCAGAACTTGCCGAGCAACGAAGTCACAAAGTCGTAAAGTAATGTCAACTGAATTTGTCCTTCTCCTCCTGGTTTATAGTTTGCAGTGAAATATAAATTTAAAGTTTGGTATACCCGATTCACAACTGCATGCTTTAAATCTTTATCTGAGCAACAATGGGAAAGATATCGTCATTTTTTTATCTAAAATATTTCTGAATTCTGTAAATAACGTTCTTCGTCTTAGTTGCATAATTTTTGTGAGTCACTTTTATTGCGACACCACAATTAGAGATTAGAAATTTTTAGATAGAAAAAGGAGGATATATTCTCAGTTATTTATTAGTGGTGTAAAGGTTACCGCTGTAAAACTGGTATGCCTCGCATTTTTTTAAATGTAACTATGATTGCGTCAAAATTCAAAAGTCTCTTTGAGTAAAAAGGATGCTTATAGAGGCTAGAAGATACTGATGTTAGAAACCTTAGAGATTAGATAACCTTTGATCTACCAACGTAATGATTGGTTTTGATTCTGCATTTAAATGTCAGAAAGACTAAGAACTAATGCTAAAGCATACAGAGCATTAAAATAAAAAAGTGCAATACATGTTAAATGAATAAGAAATACTATTACTATAATACCTGATTGACGGAAACATACCTTAATGGCGGAAAATAAGAAAACTATTATCTGATTGGCAGAAAGATAGAATACTGATGATATATGATTGACAAAAAGATAGAATACTGATATCTGATTGGCAGAAAGACAGAATACTGATACTTAATTAGCGGAAAGATAGAATACTGATACCTAATAAGCGGAAAGAAAGAATACTGATACCTAATTGGCAGAAAGATAGAATACTGATAGCTATTTAGCGGAAAGATAGCGTACCGATACCTAATTGGCGGAAAGATAGAATACTGATACCTAATTGGCAGAAAGATAGAATACTGATATCTGATTGACAGAAAGATAGAATACTGATACCTAATTGGCAGAAAGATAGAATACTGATACCTGATTGGCGGAAAGATAGTGCCATTCAGCTTCTTCATCTAGTGGAGACACAGCAAGATCTATTGTTACTTCACCTGAATAAAAGAGTGATTTTATTCTCGAGTTAGAATTTAAACAAGAATATAGAAATTACAAAGATAATTAATAAAAGATTTCAGGTGTAAACAAATAATTTTGCATAATATAGTGATTAGAAACCTAGCGTTTGATAAAAGTGATCAGAGACCGAATTTAAAGAATTTTAGCCGCGGCTCAAATATGGTTGGTTCCACTTAAAATCGCAATCAAGGTTTCGAGATTTAAGCCGGCGCTCAATTGAAACCGGTTTTTGGGGATTTGAGATGCGGCTCAAATTTGTTAAGTTAGGACTAAGTTCTTTTTTAGAAAATCGCAAACAAATTTTAAATTCCAATTTGTGCATTGTGCAATATTAATAATAAAAGATGGTAAGATGATGTTAATAAACCTTTACCTAAAAACTCGTTTGCCCCAAACCTATCATAGTCCCAAACAGTGACCTGAAAATATGTAATTAAAGTATTATTATTATAATAGTGTTGAATATTGTTCAATATAATTGTATGAGAGGTATATGTATTTATTTGTATATAAAACAGATACCACTTACAATATTGTTAGTAAATATCTTATAATCAAGTTAGCAGGAAGAAATAAACGAATGTGTGTAAACATATTTCAAATATTTCAAATATATAATTGTTCACAGATCAGATAGTTATTAGTATGCCTTTGTGTGTACATTTGAATGTAACGTCGATCTAAAGAGTAACATCCATTAAAGTCACACTCAAAAAAAGTATTTATAAAAAAAGTCCTAATTTGTATGACCAAGTCCTGAGGGGGAAAGTCATAGAATTCAGTACTGCAAAAAGTCATGACTTTATATTTCAAGTTTGTATTTCCTGAAATTTCATCCATGAAAGTCAAAGGAAAAAAAGTCATAAACAATTGTACAGCTGATGGCGGACTTTTTTTCTTGTGTTTTTATTTTAAACAACTTTTTTTCGCGAGTACTTCTGCACGACTTTATTAGATGCTGGGAACTAGTTTTATCTCAACAATGACACATATTGTAAACAAAGGTAGGAACTTTCCTGGGCAGGTTGATTATAGACGGTTGTCGTCTTACTTTAAACCAGTTCCTGAGCAGACATTATACGTCACAGTAATATCTTGCTGTTTTTACAGTGTACCGTGTACACTGTCGTTTAGGCTCAACCAACGTTTTTATAAGAGGAGGAGGGGGGGGGGTCTTATTACCTCTAGTATTCTAGATCTAAGATCCCGTCTCCTGATCGCTAGATAAACAAAGCTTTGGTTCCATCGAGGATGATTGGTATTTGCCAGGGTTTTAGTTCTACGTTTAGACCGCTCACTAAAATATTTATTATATTATTTCATTTCTTATTTAGTAGATTTATTTATTTATAAAATCTTTTGATTTATTATTTGGCTTTTTATTTGTAAGAGTGAAGTGAAACTTTTACTTTAAATCTTTGTTTTAATTTCCATGTTTATTTGCTTCTATACGATTAGGTTTCTTATTTCATAGTATATAATGTTACATTTAATTTTTCTTTATATTATTTGTTGTTTCCTTTTACCAGCTTGTTTTCTGGTATTTTGAAATTGACTTATTTTACATTTTTAGTGTATTATTATAAAAACATTTGTTTTTTTTGTTTGTTAACATTTTTTCGTAATTAGTTTAATTTTTTTGTGTGTTTACATTTTTTTTTTTTTATATTTCTTAATTTTTTACATTTGTTTGCTAACTTTTTTAACATTTGTTTGTTTACGTACATTTGTTTGTCTGTTTAAATTTAGTATGCTGTTTACATTTGTTGGTTTACTTACATTTGTTTGTCTGTTTAAATTTTTAAGTTTGTTTAAAGTTGTTTGTTTACTTACATTTGTTTGTCTGTTTAAGTTTGTTTACAGTTGTTTGTTTACTTACATTTGTTTGTCTGTTTAAATTTGTTATGCTGTTTACATTTGTTGGTTTATTTACATTTTTTGGTTTATTTACATTTGTTTGTCTGTTTAAATTTGTTATTTTGTTTACATTTGTTTGTTTACTTACATTTGTTATTGTTTGTTTACATATTTTTGTTTGTTTACATTTGTTTGTTTGATTGTTTACAAATTGTTTTAAATTTGTTTGTTTGTTTACCTTCTGTCCGGCAGAAGATACAGTTTTGCATAGGGATTCCTGTACTGTCCATTGTCCCTGTTTAGGAAAACTTAGTAACTTTATTTATTAAAGGGAGGGACGGGCAATGTATGGTAGTTGAACTAAGATAACAGTATTATTGATAAATTTTTAGAATTCATTTGAGACCTATCAGACGTTTTTACGGTGAATATTTGTTCAGCAAGAGCGCAAATGCAATCTTTAAAATCCTCATAGATTGTCCATATTGGAGGGATAATTTTAAGAATCGGTATTATTTAAATTATTCGATAACGACCTCGAAAAATGTAACAAAATTCCATAGTAAACTAATTAGCTGTTCAGGAACAATTTGAGGATATAAAATTAACTCTTGTCATCGAAAAAAAGTAATCTTATTCACTTTTTGGTTTCTGTGATGTCTCAATGTTTAAAACCATTTTCTGTGGATTTTCTGGAATTTTTAATGAAAAGACGACATTTAAAGAATTTGAATAAATCTGCGAACAAATTGATTAAGAATAAGAAAATCAACAGAATGATAAAAAAGAAACAAACGATTTTAACATTGATTTTTTTGACAAATTTCTAATGAGAAATATATTCCTCTTCATCTTATTAGTTTACTGTACAATGTTTTTACATTTTTTGTCGTCGTTATTTAATGATTCAGAAGAAATCTATTCTCAAAAAGTAACCACCCAAATGGACGATTTTAAACTCGACTTTGCGCTCAAACTCAGTAATTACAGATCACTAAAACATTTTATATGTCTTAAATGAATCCTAAAAAAATTCTCCACAACACTACATTCTCAGTTCGACTATCATGCATTGCCGGTCACTCCCTTTAATTATTTATATTTTCTATTGTCAAAACATAAATTTTTACGCATATAAAAATTGCGTCGTTTTTTCTAACAATTTCTGATTTTATATTCTTTTGATCTTTGCAACAAAATATCGTAAACTTTAGTTATTTCAAACTTTGAATTCTGTTGGATCAAATATAATAAATGTTTGAAATATGAAAGGTTTACACCATCAGGTTGCAATGATATAGGAATTAGAACATTTGTGTTGTGATAAGATTCCTTTATCTATCATTTGATTTTTAATTATTTTTTGTGATAACATAAACTTAATTACGCATATAAAAAAATGCATCTATGATTCTATTTTTAAAAGTTCAATTAATTGATAAAGATTTGAATTTTAGCGCGTATGCCGCTATAAATAAACAATGTTAATACGCAGAAAACCTAGTTTATGAAAATATATTGGTTGTCAAATTAGATACATTTAATCCCGCACTATTTATATTTTGTGCCAAAACAATGCAACCACCGTATCTATAAAGGATAGATTGTTTTTGTACATTTTTTAATAGATTTTTTTAAACAATAAAAAAATGTCCTTGCCTGTGAGGGAGATTTACTGCACCAAGAACAGTTACAACAAGTTCTAATCTAACCTTGTCATACCAGGTCTTAACCTTAACAAGAACAGTTAGAACAAGATCTAATCTTGTCATACCAGGTCTTAACCTTAACAAGAACAGTTAGAACATAATCTAATCTTCTCATACCAGGTCTTAACCTTAACAAGAACAGTTAGAACAAGATCTAATCTTGTCATACCAAGTCTTAACCTTAACAAGAACAGTTAGAGCATAATCTAATCTTCTCATACCAAGTCTTAACCTTAACAAGAACAGTTAGAGCATAATCTAATCTTCTCATACCAAGTCTTAACCTTAACAAGAACAGTTAGAACAAGATCTAATCTTGTCATACCAGGTCTTAACCTTAACAAGAACAGTTAGAGCATAATCTAATCTTCTCATACCAAGTCTTAACCTTAGCAAGAACAGTTAGAACATAATCTAATCTTCTCATACCAAGTCTTAAACTTAACAAGAACAGTTAGAACAAGATCTAATCTTGTCATACCAGGTCTTAACCTTAACAAGAACAGTTAGAACAAGATCTAATCTTTAACAAGAACAGTTAGAACAAGATCTAATCTTGTCATACCAAGTCTTAACCTTAACAAGAACAGTTAGAACAAGATCTAATCTTGTCATACCAGGTCTTAACCTTAACAAGAACAGTTAGAACAAGATCTAATCTTCTCATACCAAGTTTTAACTTTAATAGAACAGTCCTGAGGTCCAAACTTTTGTTCTGTGAATCACGATATCAACCATGTTACGGATTTAATAATATCCTTTTGGATAGATAACGTCGTCTAATGTGGAATAACAAAATTTGAGGGGTCAAGCATTTACAAATTTAAATTAAGTTAATTACAAATTAAAATTTTTACAGTGGATATAAAGATCGCGTTCTTAATATCGTTTTTTTCACACTAAATTTGTTAACCACAAATTTCTTTTAAACATATTTCGTAATTGCGCTTGTGAATTCTTTTTGTGATAATTTTCTTTAAAAAATCAAATTATTAATAGTACTTACTTGTAACCGAGCTCCCCTACCCGCTTCCCCTCTTCTCCGATCCAGTCTAAATTATTAAGAAAATAAAAATAAAATATTAGTTTTTTACTGTTTGTCCTCAATTTTGAAACTCTAAGATGAACTTTAAGATACTTGTTCCTAGAAAATATCTGACAAGAAATCCTAATCTATTTTGTCATGTAATATCAATCAACATGTTATCATGAAAATGGCAAACCTACAAGGCTACAAACAACCAACTAACAACTCAGCAAACTGATATACCAGCCAACCCCAACAAACTGATATACCAGCCAACCCCAACAAACTGATATACCAAACAAATTAGCAAACATACAAATCAGTTAACCTACAACGCATTCAATTTACAAATAAGCAAAGCCGCAATGTACCAAATAATGTGAAATGGCAACAAATCAGAAAACCTTAAAATCAGTCAACTAACAAATCAGCAAACCTTTAAATCAGTCAACCAACAAATAAGCAAACCTTTAAATCAGTCAACTAATTTATAAGTTTTTAATCAGCCAACTAAAAAATCTGCAAACCTTTAAATCAGCCAACTAACAAATCAGCAAACCTTTAAATCAGTCAACCAACAAAACAGAAAACCTTTAAATCAGTCAACTAACAAATCAGCAAACCTTTGAATCAGTCAACCAACAAATCAGCAAACTTTTAAATCAGTCAACCAGCAAATCAGCCAATCTTTAAATCAGCCAACTAGAAAATCAGCAAACATTTAAATCAGTCAACTAACAAATCAGCAAACCTTTGAATCAGTCAACCAACAAATCAGCAAACCTTTAAATCAGTCAACCAGCAAATCAGAAAACCTTTAAATCAGTCAACTAACTTAAAAAATTTTTAATCAGTCACCTAACAAATCAGCAAACTTTTGAATCAGTCAACCAACAAATCAGCAAATCTTTAAATCAGCCAACTAACAAATCAGCAAACCTTTAAATCAGTCAACCAACAAATAAGCAATCCTTTAACTCCATACAAGCTGGGAGTCTAAATCTATGCAAAGTCTGAACTCTAGAAAAGGCCTCAAAGGTAAATGGTTGCAATGCATGTTCATAGCCCAATTTGTCAAGGCCAGCTTATTGAAAAAAAATTAGATCGCTAACTTTATTAATTTGGGTTTTGGCCTTTGGTGAAATTTGATAAAAATGTCTTTAAAAAAGTCGGAAAAATGTAAAAGTCGGTTCTATGCATTAAAAAAATCAAAAAATCCTTTAAACTACTATTCCCTAAAAAATTTCAAGGATGTAGTGTCAAAAATGAAGGTGCTATGGCAAGGGGGGGGGGGGTAAAACATTCAACAAACAAACCAGCAAACCAAACATATTAATAAATGATATAAATATACAATATCTATATATAAAGTCTATAAATCACCTATTGTCCGCTAGAGGTAAATGTGCAGGTCGGGAGAAATCATCGTAATCCTGAGATAAATCTTTCTGTATTTATTGCAATAGCAAATTGTACTTGTACTAACATATATATATATTTAATATTAATATATCTATATAATATGATAATTATTAATATATCTATATAATAAAGTCCTGTCTCATTTCAATGTTCGCTTTAGCTGGTCAAACTACTAGACCAAATCAGCTGAAATTTGTAGAGGGAATCCATGGGGTACCCCGGGGGTAACATAGGCTAGGCAATTTTGGTATTTTTTTAACTTCACGGGCAACGCCGGGAACTGCAGCTAAAATCAGAAATTAAGACCAAGCGCGGGTAAACGGTGGGAGTAACTATGAGTAACCTGGGCAACATCGAGCATTTCGTATCATAGATGTAATAGTTTTTAATTTTTTGTAATGTTTTGTCGCCCTGTTAACTCAGGAGACATTAGTTTCAAAACTAACACTTGGCACATTTCTAACACTGAGTGTTAGAAATGGGCACAAATTGAAAGACTGGGTTTTTGGGATCCCGGCCCATATCCAGAGTAAAAGTCGATAATAAAAACTATAACCGACATTTTATTGAACATGACTTGGACAACAATTCTCAATTTTAAACTTTTTTTTTAAATCAAAACTACAATAGGAGTTCTTTTGACATTAAAGCTCTTGACCGTTTTCAAGACAATGTCAGGTTTTCCATTTTCGAACATATCCTGAATTTGAAACAATGTCGTGTTTTTCGAGAAAAACCCACTTTCAAGTTTTTGAGTATAATCCACAATTCAAAACATAGCTCACTTTCATAACTAACAAAATAAATCACTGAAAACAAAAAATTATCTTATGAAGACTAAATTAACTTCTGAATTATTTCTAGAATCTAAGTTTCCACATTTTATCTGTTAAATTATTTTGATTTCTAAATACTGTAATGATTTTTAAAATATAAAAGCACAGTTTGTTTTTATTTTCTATTTTGTCTATATTTTACCTTACAAAAAAAAAATTGTTTTGTTACGTAACTGCGTAAAAACTTAAAAATTTACATTGATATGAATTCCGGTAATTGTCTCAAAACCAGGATATGTTTCGAAAACGCGACATGAGCTGAAATCCAGTTTTCAAAATAGGAGTATGTTCGAAAATTAAATCAAAAATCATCAAAAACTAATTCTCTCACCTTATTATTAATTTAATATTAACATTTGTTCTATTCGACTTGGATTTAAAGATATATATACTCTTGAAAAAGATAACTTTGCAGATTTGGCCCATTTCTAATACTCAGTGTTAGAAATGGGCCAAGTGTTAGTTTTGAAACTAATATCCCCTGTAACTGTTTTCTTTCTTAAAATTGACAACTTGCAGCCACGGAAGTTGCAGGAATAAACCTTGTGGATTTCTACAGAATTTAATGTAAGGATGTTCTAACCTTTTGTAAAAAACTTCTGGTTGTCTCTCTTCTCACCAACATTTCAACTGTTCTACCCCCTCCAGATAGAGCTAGGATATCCTCAACCTGGGCAGGCATTAATTCATTAATTCATTATTTAATAGTTTTATCATTTTGAATTAACAAATGCAGTAATTCATCAATTCATGCAAACTTGTAATGAAACCCTTCTATCTATAATTTATTAATTCATTTATTCATAAATTCCATTCTTTATTAATTCATTCATTTATTATTCTATCAATTCATTTATCAATTTATTTATCAATTCATTTATCAATTCATCTATCAATTCATTTATCAATTCATTTATTCATTTATCAATTCATTTATCAATTCATTTATCAATTCATTTATCAATTCATTTATCAACTCATTTATCAATTCATTTATCAATTCATTTATTAATCCATTTATCAACTTATTTTCTCAATTCATTTCTTAATTCATTTTATAATTCATTTCTCGATTCCTTTCTAAATTTATTTCTCGATTCAAGTCTCAATTATTTTCTCAGTTAATTTTTTAATTATTTTTCTTGATTCATTTATCGATTTATTTATCATTTCATTTATCAATTCATTTATCAATTCATTTATCAATTCATTTCTTAATTCATTTCTAAAAAATTTCTCAATTAAATTTTTTAATTCATTTATCAATTCCTTAATTAAAATATCTGTCCATATTCGTTAAGTCAGTTTCTTTATCCATTGATTCCTTACAATAAACAAAAAAAAAAACTCTTGCGCAAAAGGTTGATTTCTTAAAGATTATTGATTATCTAAATAAAAAGGTTAAACCCTTTACAAGAATAGTTTTGTCTGAGTCCATGTTTAAAATGAAGAATTATTAAGTAAACGAAAACTAGAAATTGTTCAGTGTTCTCTGTCACGCAACTTCTATGATATTCTTAATATTATCACAATATTTACTGCAATAATATGTTTTACTTATTCAGAACTTGTTCTTTCTTTTATGTTACAGTTCATATTATAACAACCCCCCCTTGTTCATATTTACGTGTCCTTCACTTCTTAAAGGGTCTGTTTACCCTAGTTATGTTCCTTTAATCTCTGCATATTTAAAAACATAATAGGATAAGCCTAGTTATGTTCCTGTTATGTTTAACCTATTTGAATAAACAATAGGATAGGCCTAGTTATGTTCCTGTTATGTTTAACCTATTTGAATAAACAATAGGATAGGCCTAGTTATGTTCCTGTTATGTTTAACCTATTGAACATACAATAGGATAGGCCTAGTTGTCTTCCTATTATGTTTAACCTATTTGTTATGTTCCAATTATGTCTTCCTATATGAACGAATAATAGGACAGGCCTATTTGTGTTCCATTAATGTCTGCCTATTTAAAACATAATAGGAAAGGCTAGTTATATTCCTATTTTGTTTAACCTATTTGAATAATATAATAGGATAGGCCTAGTTGTGTTCTTCTTATATCCACCTACTTGAACAAATAATAGTATAGCCTATTTTTCACCTACAGTGAAACCCTTAATAACGAATACATCGGAAGAATTTATTAAATGTCGTCTTGACAATTTTGCAATGAGTTTTATACTATATTACGTAAATTTGAGTATTTGCAAAAATAAATAAATAGCCATGAATATGCGGGAACAGTTTTAAAGAGTTCCATATAATCATTTACTTAAAAAACTAAATATCTGCAACATTCCATTATCAGAAAGTGAAGAATACGACATTTGATGAATTCTTTCGATGTATTCGTTATTAAGGGTTTCACTGTATTATTTAATCTACAGTAATAATCAGAAAACTCTGGAATAGGAAGAGGACTTTATTTAAATAATAAAGTGTAGCTAATGCAGTTGCAAAGCAAATAGCTTTACTAGACACTTATTAAATCCCAAATTAAGTGAAATGGGCGTTTTTACATTGCACAATTTCTGTGTTCCATTCTCATTGGAATACCTTGATCGATTCTAAGAGTCTTCCTATTTCAGAGTTTTCTGGTTATCACAGTAGTTTCAAAGAGGCACACAATCATTTTTAAAATTTCTATCATTACTATTTATTTTGATTATCTCTATAACTCCATGATTTGATTTTCCCTTTTCCTTCTCTTTTTAGTATACATGTTTTCCCTTCTTCTTCCCATCATGTTTCCTCTAGATAACATTTATTTCGCTTGATTAAATTTTAAGGTTTTCTTACCTCCTCTCTAGTCTTAGATTGAAGACTATGTCCGTTCCATTCTAGAACTTCATCCCCTAGAATTTAGTTTAATCAATTAAAGATAAAATTAGAGCAAACTATTGGATTAAGGCTCTCCGGTGTCGTGTATCAGTTCAACNCCCCCCTCCCGTCAAGAGCAATGTTGTGACACTTGCTGATGTTTATAAAAATAATTGAAAAACCTAACAGCTATGTCTCAAATAAAGATTATTTATTTAATAAATTAAACAGAAGACGTCATTTGGGAGGCATTTTTTAGCGTTTTCCCATTTCCCATTTAGAACATTAAATAATGTATTTTAATAAGTTGATGGTTTTATATTTCTTTTTTATGTCTAACGTGTTGAAATGGTTAAATCTTCAAGGGGGGGGTGAACTTATAATGGACACCTGGTTAGACGGGCAGTATTTCAAGCTAGGTGTATTAATGCTGCCCAAAAAATAACTTTTCTTAAATTGGGGGTTTCAGACGTATACACGTCTGTTAAAAGAGGTGCACTTAAAAATGCACCCTCCTTCAGGACATTTCTCCAGTCCGTCCCAGAATACACCCAATGTGAACTATTTTATGCTTATTGGGCAAAACAGACAACAGACGTTTAAGAACAGTCTTAGTTGATGACACAGCTTTTGAGAAACATTTATATTTAGAATAGTTTGAAAAGTTCAACATTTTATTTCAAGAAAATTCTTTGTTTAGTAGAAAAAGTGCTCTTATGAGAAGATTTATTAAAAAATAAAAATTGAAAATACTGACTGCAGTACACACTAAACTTCTCTCAACATGCAGCCATTGCATATAAAAAGAATTAGAACAACAAATTTTTGTTTGAATAATCGGAATAAGATAAGATAAGATAAGATAACGTTTATTGCTAAAATAAATGTATCTGTATACAGATAACTATTTTTGTGTCAGTCATTTTGAGTCTAGTAGAAATATTTTTTACTGGAAATAAATGCACTAAACAAGTTATCTGAGTGTTTGTGTTTTCACATAATATGGAGCATGTGAATAAGTTAACCCGGTGTTGGGTTGTCGGTCAGTTTAATCCGGGAGCTCACAAAGACACGTCCGGTCAGCTCGGATAACTACACTACACTATAGCAGCACCCTTCACTATTTAAAGCACGCGTTATATTTTTGAAATACTTCTCGGTTTATTTTGGTTAGCAAATCATGAAATTAAACTGATAAGACTTCTTACAAAATCATATTTGAATGACTGAAACACTCGCGTAAAGTTTATCGTCTAAAAAATATTTTACCTGGAAGAAGACGACCTTCAATGTCAGCTGCGCTTCCCTTTTTTACTTTCTCAATAATAGCGCCGTACTTGTTGCTGGGCAGCAGGTTTCCACCAATTATCTAAAAAATAAATTTGCATTTTGAAATTCTAAATCAATTTGTTTCCAACCCTGACTATGCAAAACTTTATGTAAACATAATAATTGTGAATACCTAAATCCAAAACTTGATTTACCTTGACAACTTTTAAAATTAATATTCAGATAAACGAAGGATTTACTTAGAGCTTCGAATAAACAATATTCATGGAAGTGATAAATAGATGATGGAAACCATTTCAGGGTTGCAGGATTCAGGAAGAGAGACACAGTGTGGTTCCATTCAGGGAGGGTCAAAGGTTGATCACAGTGGAAGAATAGGAATGGTTCGAAAAAAGGAAGAGAGGATGCACAGTGGTTCAAAAGGAGGGGGAGGGCGGGCCACAGTGGTCGCAAAGTCAGAAAGGAAGGGAATGAAGACATGAGAGGATTTCAAGAAAGGGAAATAAAAGGCTGAGGGGTTCGAAAGTGAGGGAATTATGCAATATAATTAATTCCCGTGCACTTGTATATCTTTCTTCAAATTATTTGTTAAAGTTGCGGCGGGGCAATGTTGGTCAAATTTGGAAACCGAAAACAAAATAAAAAAAACTAAATTTTCTGGATTTCAAGTTTGAATTTTAATGAAGTTTAATAAAGATTTACGATTTTAAGCAATTTTAAACCACTGGGGAGGGGGGACGTGGGAAGGAGGGGACAGAATAACAGAATATCCTACTTTGAGTCCTATACTAGCTTGTATATCTGAAGGATAGGTTTGTGGGAAGTTTTGAAGACGAATATGAGCAACCATCCTGGACCCAGCAGCACCACCCTGTAACCCCTGAAATAAACATGTAGAAGATTTATAACAATATTCAAAAAAAATTTAATCTTCGAAACTTAAATTTTAATAAATAGGAAAACTCAAAACAATAAAATGTTATGCAAATAACTGTTAAAAATGCAAATCTCTTACATTTGATATATATTTATATGTATTTACCACATTTAAATGTGTGCTATATGTTTGAAATATTGAAGATCCAAGATATCCAGGACCAGAGTTAAAAAATAGGAGGAGTAGAAGAATGAGATATCCTTAATCCCGATCGGTTAATTAGTCTGGAGATTAAATAAAGAGGAGAACAAGCATTATTTAATCTGGAGATTAAGAAAAAGAGTGGATCAAGCATTAATCCCAATATCCACCATTCAAAAGTTCCCAGCTCTGGTTAAACCTGCGGCGCGTGGTTCAACTACTTTTTATTAAATCCATGGTCTTTGATTTTAAAGCTGAAAAGATTAGAAAATTGATTTTGATTTTACAGGGTTTATTTCCATAGTGTGAATATCTGTAGAAATTTCAAATTTTTTATTTGGTTTGGTGCCAACACATTGGTTCACTGCCAACACTTTTTATTTTGTTTTCCTTCACAGCGTTTTATAAAGATAATGAAGTCAATATCTTTTTGTTTGAATAAGATCTCAGTCCTGAAGATAAACATGAAAACCTTTCCAATAAATCATTGAGATATTTTTTCCTTTTCCATCTTTCAGGGCTCGTCATGTCAAGAAATATAAGCACTGCATGCAGAAATATACATGAATCATATATTTCTGATAAATGAGAAATATATACACTGCAGGAATATACATGAATTATATTCCTGATAAAGGAGAAATATAAGCACTGCAGGAATATACATGAATTATATCACTGATAAAGGAGAAATATAAGCACTGCAGGAATATACATGAATTATATTACTGATAAAGGAGAAATATAAGCACTGCAGGAATATACATGAATTATATTACTGATAAATGAGAAATATAAGCACTGCAGGAATATACATGAATTATGTATTACTGATAAATGAGAAATATAAGCACTGCAGGAATATACATTAATTATATTACTGATAAATGACAAATATAAGCACTGCAGGAATATACATTAATTATATTACTGATAAATGAGAAATATAAACACTGCAGGAATATACATGAATTATATTACTGATAAATGAGAAATATAAACACTGCAGGAATATATACATGAATTATATCACTGATAAATGAGAAATATAAACAAACAATAACTTTAAATTTATATTAAACACATTTGATTTAAAGTAATTAAGTTTTTACCACAAACTCTTATTTTATAATCCCTATATCTTTGCAACTTGATGTAGTAGACCTTAGATTTTTCAAGCAATGCATTCTTTAAGATCAAATAATGTTACACCATCAGGCTAGATTGTGGCTAGATTTATTTTTTACTTTTCAAACATTGCTCGTTTATTAAATATTAGTTTTTGATGCATTTTTATATACAATCCACCAACTATAAACAAATCTTTGTGAAGTATTTATATTAATCTATAATCTTAAAACTATATATTTCCTGTCTTTTCTATTTTCTTCTTTTCTATTCTATAATCTTAGAAAGATCTACTATAAACTATTCTATTCTACAATCTTAGAAAGATCTACTATAATCTATTCTATTCTACAATCTTAGAAAGATCTACTATAATCTATTCTATTCTACAATCTTAGAAAGATCTACTATAATCTATTCTATTCTACAATCTTAGAAATATAATCTATTCTATTCTACAATCTTAGAAAGATCTACTATAATCTATTCTATTCTATAATCTTAGAAAGATCTACTATAATCTATTCTATTCTATTCTATTCTACTCTCTTCTATAATCTTAGAAACATCTACTAAATTATATTATATTCTATTCTATTCTACAATCTTAAAAAGATCTACTAAATTTCATTCTATTCTGTTCTATTCTATTCTATTCCATTCTATTTTAATCTATTCTATTCTATTCTATTCTATCCTATTCTTTTCTCTTCTATACTTTAAATAATCATAGATAGAAGTATTTATTTTAAACTTTAGTATAAAGAGATCTTATCTATTTCTTGATCTTTAAAGGATTTGAAATACCACATTATCTAAACAAAACTGCTGAAGCTTCCTTTTTTGATCCACACTATTTCTGTCTGATCAAAAAAGTGCATTCTAAAGCAGACAGTTTATACCATACCTATTATACATTCATGGATGGAATAAGGTATTTTAATAAAACTTCTTCAACCAACTGATATTTAGAATTCAAATATCTAGTCAAACAAATATCTAGACAAAACAAAAATATGTATCAAAAAATTAATGATTTTCCAGACTCAATAAGATTTGATTTTCAAATTATTCAAAATTATAGCAATTAGTTCTTATGATTATATGTAAAAATTGATCATTAAATATTGAAAACATGTAGGATTTCAATTCAATCTCAAATTTATGTTAATTTAAAATAAAATTTGTGAAAATAAAATTGTGGATTTATTTCCTGAATCTGCTAATATTAGATTCATGCTTTTTATCGCAAGGTTTTCCTGTATATATAAAAAACTCATAGTTTGGAACTATACTGCAAACAACGTTGTTTCATTTAACAATGAGAAAGGCTGAAAAGATATCTCAACAAGAAATAAATGACTGTTTAAGATTTTTATGAACTCCAAGACGTAAATCATAAGACAGATAAAACTGTCAGGGGAGTCAGGCCCCGGGTGGGTTTGTTTGTTTCGTAAACTTTTATTTCTTTTTTACTTCACTACAACTAGACTTTATATTCACAGTGTACACAGATAGGGCATATTTCTTTAAACCCTACTTTGCTAATGTGGTTCTGTGATAAGACCAAATTGATCGAGAGCTGGAAACTCTTGTGTTCGCTTTATCTCAATATCCATTTTTAATTTTCTGCCTGATCCAATTATTTGGATATCCCAGCTAGGTTCCAACCAATGGAAGCTCTCTCACTAAGTGCGTGAAAAATCCCCGGCTTCCAATTGGCTGTTTGGGTTCTGAAAATTACACTCTGATTGGTTGCATTTTGGACATCTTCTTTTACATCAATTAAAGATTAAATTAATCTTTAGATTAGCAAAAAAGTGGAGATCAAGCATTAATTTCGATATCAATAATACAAGAGTTTCCAGCTCAGGTCAGATTAAGGAGTATCTTCCACAAATGGCTTAAAAAATATACTTCAAGAACACTCCTTCTCCAATTTGTGTAATTTCTGATATATTGTCTGATCTGTATTATCTCTGGTACATGTGTATATATTGTCATATCTGTATTATCTCTAGCTGGTATATGTACATATATTGTCTGATCTGTATTATCCCTGGTATATGTATATATATTGTCTGATCTGCATTATCTCTGGTATATGTATATATATTGTCTGATCTGTATTATCTCTGGTATATGTATATCGAATTTTTTTTTCTTCTAAATTCTTTTCCACGGGTCCTTCAGCTAGTATTACATACTTTACCCATTTTATGGGACTATATACATAATCTTAAGTCATTCTTAATTTGCATGTCCGCTTCTATGTCCGCTTCATATGTCCGCTTCATATGTCCACTTAATATGTCCGCTTCTATGTCCGCTTCTATGTCCGCTTCATATGTCCGCTTCTATGTCCGTTTCTATGTCCGCTTCTATGTCCGCTTCTATGTCCGCTTCTATGCCCGCTTCATATGTCCGCTTCTATGTCCGCTTATATGTCCGCTTCTATGTCCGCTTCTATGTCCGTTTTTATGTCCGCTTCTATGTCCGCTTCTATGTCCGCTTCTATGTCCGCTTTTATGTCCACTTCTATGTCCGCTTCATATGTCCGCTTCTATGTCCGCTTCATATGTCCGCTTCTTTGTCAAAAAAAGATAATGTCGTTTTTATCTAGAAAAGCCTTAGACGCGGGATACCTCATTAGTGCCAGGTACGAACAATTTTTTCTCCGATTTAGAGAGTAAAACATTAAATTAAAAGTTTGTCTAGATATCTAGTTTATAGTCTTTGAAATTATGCGATATCAAAACAAAAGTTTTACCATTACCTCTTTACCTTATTTTACGGAATTTTATCTTAAAAGAAAACTCAACTAAAGCTTTATTATAATATAACATTAACATTTCTTGAACTCAAACTGTACAAATTACAGCTGATGGCAATGAAGTATGCAAAGCCATCAAATAAATCTCATCAAGGTTGTCGGTTTTACATCTTGTATTTTGCGAAATTAACTCACTTTGGGTTGAAGCAAGTGCCACATACATTTTCCTGTCAGGTTCCTGAGTTTTTAAAAATAACAAGGAACTCATGGTAACTTTTCTCCCCTCCCCTTCTCCTAGAATGAAAAACATGGTAACTTTTCTCCCCTCCCCTCCTAGAATAAAAAGCCAATAGTAACGTTTCTCCCCTCCCTTCCTCCTAGAATAAGGAACCCATGGTTACTGTGTTCCCCTCCCCTCCTCCTAGAATAAGGACCCCATGGTTACTGTGTTCCCCTCCCCTCCTCCTAGAATAAGGACCCCATGGTTACTGTGTTCCCTTCCCGTCCTCCTAGAATAAGGAACCCATGGTTACTGTGTTTCCCTCCCCTCCTCCTAGAATAAGGAACCTATGGTTACTGTGTTCCCCTCCCCTCCTCCTAGAATAAGAAACCCATGGTTACTGTGTTCCCCTCCCCTCCTCCTAGAATAAGGAACCCATGGTTACTGTGTTCCCCTCCCCTCCTCCTAGAATAAGGAACCCATGGTTACTGTGTTCCCCTCCCCTCCTCCTAGAATAAGGAACCTATGGTTACTGTGTTCAACTCTCCTGCTTCTAGAATACTAATCCCTATAGTTGGAAAATAATTGCCGCAACAAGTAAAACTTGGAATATTTCTTGACACGGAACATGTATATTGTATAATATATAACCCCGAGAAATATGAAAACTTTTTATTGAAGTGTTGACAAATAATATTTGACCCACAAAGTTGGTGTAAAATGTTCATCCAACAATGTTTATGCGCTCAATCTTTTCTTCACTTTTGCCTAAAAAAGATTCAGCCATAAGTCAGCTGCTTTAAAAAAAAGAAAATAAAGAACTTTGTTCACTTCCGAAGGCCTAGAACAAAACCGGACAACAGTTCCTATGTCCTATTTGGTTGAATTAGTGACTGACTCTGAATTTACAAATCCGAGCAAGTTTTTGTTATTCTTATTTACATTCAAGTAAACAAGAGCAAAGTTGGAACTAACTTTTACCTTACACATAATTATGCTTTCTTGTTTACAGGGTATACTTAACACAACAACACTAATAGCAGGGGGGGGGGGGGGGGGGGAGGCAACCAGACAACCTTGATATCATCCTCTATTTAAAGCAGAGCTGCGGAATATATTGGAGTGTCCGTCACTGGTCCGTGTGTGTTTGTGTACAGTAAATCCCAGATATATGAATACATAGGAAGAGTTTTTTTTTATAATATCGAATTTCATATTTAAGATTAAATGCCGCGAAAAAATGAGTTTAATATTAATACATCAATTGCATTCATATCTCAGGGCTTTTTTTTCATTTTTCTATTTTGATCAAAAATACCTTTATTTACTTTCAGGCATCTTATGGTATACTTTTATTTTTAAATTTTAACTCTAAAAACAAACATAGAAGCGACTTGCAGTCTCATTGAAGAAAAAATAAGTTAGGTTTAATAAACTGGATAAACATTGACACAAGCTTTTTAGATTTGGTGTTGTCAAACTACAGTCTATTTTAAAACTGATTAATAATGTATCCGTGATACTGTTTATAGGAAAGTAGAAACATTTGTGGTTGATGATTTATTTACACGCTTTTAATGGAAAATAAAGCTAGTTATTTTTTTTATAATTTAGTATATTCGAACCTGCCCAGAGTGGTCAGATAAAATATTTAGTTTTTTCTATTTTCAATTTAAAAACTGGTTTAAGAGGGAACAAAAAATAGAAAGGGTTTAAATTTAAAACAAAATAGACTATTTAAAAAAAAGTTTTCTTGAATTTTTGAAAATCTGATCGTTTTTTCTAGAAGAAATATAAATATAAACAAGAGCAATACACAGAGTTTTGAAAAATGTAAAGGACAGAAGATGACATTTATGAGAAATCACTGACGTTCGAATTTTTGACCTCGTGACTCTTCTAGTTTTGATTTTACGCTTTACATGGTTACATAATCTAGAAATTCAACATAATTTTGTTCTTCACAATAGGTTTTAAATATGAGGATTTTTGATGAATGTTATGAAAACATGACGTGAAAGGAATTGAGTCTTTGCCACCAACTCTGATTTTCTAATCCCAATATCCTTGCAACCCAATGTCGTGGACCCTTGACATTTCAAACTATGAATTCTGTTAGATTAAGTAATCTGAGTTTGAAATATCAAAGGTTTACAACATCGAGTTCTAAAGATATTGTGGTTTAAATATTTGATTTTGTTCCAAAGACTCAATTCCTTTACTTGAATTTGATGTGGATTGTTAATTAAACGCCAAATCGACAGAACCAAGGTTATAATGCAAGGAAAGTTAATTGCAGTTGCGTATACTCAGCGTACATATTGAAACCAGTTCTCTCTGGGCAGAATTTGTAAACAAGAATAGATGCATCAGTGTTCGCTTAGTATTCGAGGAGGTTAAAAGAATTAAATTTTGATAATTTTGATAATTCACATAGTTTTTTCTAAGACCAGAATATTTTATTGATTTTTCATGTGAAAGATGGATCCCATGTCAGGATTCGACATCCGTCTTGTGCTTACATTATCGCCCAGAGACAGTACACTGCAGTACAAAAGATGCGTAAACCTCTGAAATAACTTTCCTTGCATTATAACCTTGGACAGAACGATGTAGAAAATTAATAAAAAAATTGTTTAACCCTGATTTCCCAGTAGAAAATGTTTAACCCTGATTTCCTATTAGAAAATGTTGACCCTGATTTCCCAGTAGAAAATATTTAACCCTCATTTCAGAGTAGAAAATGTTTAACCCTGATTTCCCTGTAGAAAATGGGTATCGGAAAAAGAGTCGGCAATCCGGAATTTTAAGAAGAAACACAATGGTCTGCATTGCAGAGGCAGAACTATATACAGAGCTAGACTAAACATAGACACAACATAAACTGCATAGTATCTAAAAGATGTCTTCGTATTGCACAATTCTATTGGTCTCATTGTAACTAATTTTCAGCTAGCACTGGACGGTCTACTTCTAGTCTTCATCAAGCCTATGTATTGTATATAAATATTAAATACTCTCTGCAACGTTTAATTATAAAGGGTTTGGTTTCACTAAATGGATCATTCTTTATATTTCCTACATTGAAACCAGGAAAATTGATAAAATCTGAAATCACCAAGTTTTTAAAAGTAATTTTAAAAATATTTTGCTTTATCAATCTGTCCAAAATATGATTATTCTAGGTTGTTAATTTTTCCCCTAATGTTTTTCTATACTTTCTATACAGATCTTTGTTATTTACAGTTTAGGTCAGTCCTACCGATATCAGGAGGAGGAATTGGAATAAAATATAAAGTGAAAATATATGTTTTTATGAATTATTTTCTGTTAATTTTTATTCAATATGATAGACTATTAACTCCTTTATATTCTAGCAATACATAAAGTAATATTCCTAAGAGAGATTGATGATACTTATAATAATAATATATCGATCTGGAATCTCTATTTTAGTCAACCATATATAGGACCTCCCCCTCCCCCTCCCCCCTTTCCTTCAGGTTCCTTAATATGGCCAGCGGACATTCAAACATTGAAGCAGGAGAGTTGAATAGTTTAATGGAAACAAGAGAGTTGAATAGTTTAATGGAAGCAGGAGAGTTGAATAGTTTAATGGAAGCAGGAGAGTTGAATAGATTAATGGAAGCAGGAGAGTTGAATAGATTAAAGGAAGCAGTAGAGTTAAATAGATTAATGGAAGCAGGAGAGTTGAATAGTTTAATGGAAGCAGGAGAGTTGAATAGATTAATGGAAGCAGGAGAGTTGAATAGATTAAAGGAAGCAGTATAGTTAAATAGATTAATGGAAGCAGGATAGTTGAATAGTTTAATGGAAGCAGGAGAGTTGAATAGTTGATGGAAGCAGGAGAGTTGAATTGTTTGATGGAAGCAGGAGAGTTGAATAGTTTAATGGAAGCAGGAGAATTGAATAGATTAATGGAAGCAGAAGAGTTGAATAGTTTAATGGAAACAAGAGAGTTGAATAGTTTAATGGAAGCAGGAGAGTTGAATAGTTTAATGGAAGCAGGAGAGTTGAATAGATTAAAGGAAGCAGGAGAGTTGAATAGTTTAATGGAAGCAGGAGAGTTGAATAGTTTAATGGAAACAGGAGAGTTGAATAGTTTAATTGAAGCAGGAGAGTTGAATAGTTTAATAGAAGCAGGCATTTTTGATTGCTTAATAAATGCAAAAAAAAATTAAGAACAGTAATTTTTAAAGTGTTTTGTTAAAAGTGACGTAACGCAGGATTTTATTATTATTTGTAATTGACGAAGAAACTGTTTTAGCAAATTTGAATGAACTTGTTTATCATGAAGTGTCTAGGTTAATTATATTTTTACACGCATTGATATTGTTGTACACAATTGGACCCCCTGCACTGTAGCAAATGTTGTATATTTTAACCAGCAATGTTTAAGAGTAAATAAAATACCTTCCTGTGTTATATTGCCTCTAGCTGGAGGAATATTACAAAAGGAATTATAATTACTCACCACAATCTTAATATTCTAATACTGACATTTTTACAACTTGATGTCGTACACGGTGTGTGGATCAAATAGTAAATATTTGAAATATCAAGAGTTTTTAACATTAGGATGCAAATATATAGTTATGAAAAAAGGTCATGTAAACACTACAGTACAATTCTGCAGTACACTTTTGCAGTACACTACTACAGTACTCTATCAATCTATTTATTACCTTGTTATTCCTGGGATCTCTATGATTACTGTCCTCACTACCAGTAAAACAGCTGGATGTATCTATACCAGAATCCCTAGAAATATAACAGTAAACAGCTGAATGTAACAATACCAGAATCCCTAGAAATATAACAGTAAACAGCTGGATGTATCTATACCAGAATCTCTAGAAATATAACAGTAAAAAGCTGGATGTATCTATACCAGAATCCCTAGAAATATAACAGTAAACAGCTGGATGTATCTTTACAAGAATCCCTAGAAATATACCAGTAAACAGCTGGATGTATCTATACCAGAATCCATAGAAATATAACAGTAAACAGCTGAATGTAACAATACAAGAATCCCTAGAAATATAACAGTAAACAGCTGAATGTAACAATACAAGAATCCCTAGAAATATAACAGTAAACAGCTAGATGTATCTATACCAGAAACCCTAGAAATATAACAGTAAACAGCTGGATGTAACAATACAAGAATCCCTAGAAATATACCAGTTAACAGCTGAATGTAACAATACAAGAATCCCTAGAAATATAACAGTAAACAGCTGGATGTATCTATACCAGAATCCCATAATGAGTTCAAATTGAAACAAAAGTGACTGTTCTCTAAAAGTAGAGCTAAATACTGGTTCCTCCTGTTGTTGTTAGTGCACATTCCCTTTAGGGTGAGTGAACGAGCTAAACGTATCAAAATGAAGAAATGTATAAATATTTAATGTTAAACTGTATTGATGGACCAGGGAAGGAATGAAGAATTCTAATTTTTCTTCGTGGATATGAAGTTAGGGAGCTCAAAACCAAGGAATTATTTTGCAATTAAAAAAATGAGGACTATAAGTATAAGTATCTAAAATAGAATTACTGAAAACTAACTACGAAATAAAAATGTTTTATAAATTTCATGATTTATAATTTTTATATAAAAAAACTCACGTCAGAACTAAGTAAATTACTATGAATTAGGCTATAATTACATTTAATACACGGTTTATTAAAGGAAAACATAATTTAACATGCAGAAAAAGTAACCTTTAATTTCAATACTTTGTATTTTATTAAGTTGGACCCATAATATTGTGGAAAAGGAATACGATATTTCTTTATTGTGATTATTATTTATTCTGCCACTTCTAGAAACAGCTGACAAACAGAGTGTTCTACAATTACAAGCTTTTTTATAGTCTGTCATCTTTGATCAAAAATGGTCTCTTATGTGGTCACTTGAAATTTCGCTGGTAGTCTCTTTACGCAATCTTATGTGGTCACTTGAAATAACGCTGGTAGTCTCTTTAAGCAATCTTATGTGGTCACTTGAAATTACAGTCTCTTTACGCAATCTTGTGTGGTCACTTGAAATTACGCTGGTAGTCTCTTTACGCAATCTTATGTGGTCACTTGAAATTTCGCTGGTAGTCTCTTTAAGCAATCTTATGTGGTCACTTGAAATTACGCTGGTAGTCTCTTTAAGCAATCTTATGTGGTCACTTGAAATTACTCTGGTAGTCTGTTTATGCAATCTTATGTGGTCACTTGAAATTACGCTAGTAGTCTATTTAAGCAATCTTATGTGGTCACTTGAAATTACTCTGGTAGTTTCTTTAAGCAATCTTATATGGTCACTTGAAATTACGCTGGTAGTCCCGTTAAGCAATCTTATGTGGTCATTTGAAATTACGCTGGTAGTCTCGTTAAGCAATCTTATGTGGTCTCTTGAAATTACTCTGGTAGTCTCTTTACGCAGTCTTATGTGGTCACTTGAAATAACGATGATAGTCTCTTAACGCAATCTTATGTGGTCACTTGAAATTACGGTGGTAGTCTCTTTACGCAATCTTATGTTGTCACTTGAAATTACGCTGGTAGTCTCTTTAAGCAATCATATGTGGTCACTTGAAATTACGCTTATAGTCTCTTTAAGTAATCTTATGTGGTCACTTGAAATTACGCTGGTAGTCTCTTTAAGCAATCTTATGTGGTCACTTGAAATTACGCTGGTAGTCTCTTTACGCAATCTTATGTGGTCACTTGAAATTAAGCAGGTAGTCTCTTTAAGCAATCTTATTTGGTCACTTGAAATTGCGGTGGTAGTCTCTTTACGCAATCTGGTGTGGTCACTTGAAATTACTCTGGTAGTCTCTTTACGCAATCTTATCTGGTCACTTGAAATTATGCTGGTAGTCTCTTTAAACAATCTTATGTGGTCACTTGAAATTATGCAGGTAGTCTCTTTAAGCAATCTTATGTGGTCACTTGAAATTACGCTGGTAGTCTCTTTACGCAATCTTATGTGGTCACTTGAAATTGCGGTGGTAGTCTCTTTACGCAATCTTATGTGGTCACTTGAAATTACTCTGGTAGTCTGTTTAAGCAATCTTATGTGTAGTATATTTCATGTTGCAAATAATTTACTATTATAGCTTTAAAAACAACTCATTAAGTGAAATGGGTCCGTTCAAGTTGGAATATTTAAAATCATTACTTGAGCAGTTCCTCAGTGTTACGTGTCACACCGTAGAAAGTGTATATTTGTCGATGAACTGCAGAGGTTAATAACATAACAGCTAGCATAGAATACTAATATTTAGTAGATATATTAAAAAGAAATATATATCATATTTTTGGAGGAAAATTAATCTAAATGCGATGAGTGACTTCGTGTAATGATATCAGTCTACAAAAAGAAAAATGTTATCAGTCAGAATTGTTTTTTAAACAAACCTTGCAGTACTATCCTGGCTCTCCTGCCTGTCCCAGTGAGGATGGTTTGGATGGATGGATCCTATATAAATACACACTATTATAAAATCATAAAAGGGACTGTTCAACTCATTTTTATAAAAAACATAAAAAAACTTTTGAATTTTTCGCAGAATCTGCTTGATCTCTTGATTTGAATATACGTAATATCTTTGGTTGGTTGGTTAGATCCAAGCTTCTGATTTGCTGTTCACGGGATATTGGCACTGTACGGGATATTGGCACTGTACGGGATATTGGCACTGTACGGGATATTGGCACTGTACGGGATATTGAATAAAGTTTATATTAATCTGTAAATTAACAACAGATCTTGATCAAACATTTAGCTTGATATTCTCAAAACAATATTTTCCACCTTTGGCTATTCAGTTGAATATTCGGAAAATATTTATGTGTATTTTGAAAAAGGTGTATGTATTGAATCCAGCACCTGGAGCTTGACCTTAATGTACCTGGAATCTGGATAGATAATATTTGTGTGTACCTGGAGCATGAGGTATACTGCGACCAGGAAAGGTTCCAACTGTCCAAGGATGGCGTTTTATCCGGCGCAGACCCTTAATATTTATATCATTGAAATCAAATCAAGATAAGAAAATATCAATATTTTCAATGGCTTTGATTTCCACCCATTTTATAATAATTTAATATAATATATAAATATATAGAAGGCCATGAAATGACCTCATGTAGTTTATAAAATCTAGTTTTTGTTTGACTGGATTGAAAATCAGTTAAACAAATTTCTTGATATCACGAAACTTCGTCCTAGTATTAAATTGTATACCTTGTTATACCTAATTTATTGAATAATAATTAATAATCTTGCTGATATCTCTTTATCTATCTATTTACATATATTAAAGAGGAACTAGGGGAACTACAGGAATTAGAGGAACTAGAGGAACTAGAGGAACTAGAGGAACTAGAGGAACTAGAGGAACTAGAGGAACTAGAGAAACTAGAGGAACTAGAGGAACCGCTACCTGGTCATGTAGAGTAAGCCAGCCTTCTGATAGATCTGCCTCACTCTCATAAATTTCATCTAAAAGTTAAATCAGATTATCAACATGTATTTAAAGTTAAATCAGCTGATTAACATGTGTACACAAATAAATCAGCTAATTAACATATTTTAAAAGTTAAATCAACTGATTACTATATTTTGGAAGCTAGATCAGCTGATAAAATATATTGACAGTTATATCAGTTGATTAACTTATATTGGAAGTTAAATTAACTGATTAACAAATCTGGAAAGTCAAATCAACTGATTAACAAATATTGGAAGTTGTATCATCTGATAAACATATTTAGGAAGTTAAATTAAATGATTAACATATATTGGAAGTTAAACAAGGTGATTATTAAAAGTTAAATCAGCTGCTTAACATATGTTGGAAGTTTAATCAGCTGATTCACATATATTGGAAGGTAAATCAGCTGATTTACAAGTATTACCAAACGGAACTAACCTGACAAATTTCCTGAGTCGAACCGAACAGTTTTTTTCCTACGTTCACGTAAAAGGGACGGGTCACGTGATCTAAAGTTTTGAACGTGAAAACCTGGACTTTTTCCTTTTAGATTAACGATATCAATACAGATTAACCGTTGGCCAAGTCAAATATTTTGGCGTAAATGCAAAAAAAAAGTTCGGCAAAAAAGTAGCTTAACAAAATTCTAGACTGGGCTGGCTACATTTTCATATTTTCCGTTGCAAAAGATGAATCATTAATTGTATGGATCCCTCATGAGGGTTCACTTACATTAGAGGTCGCACATGGAGCAGATTCATAAATCTTAGCTTTAAATATATTAGGATTGAATTGTGAATATAAATAATAAATAAAGTATGATTAAAAACCTAAATTTAAATAAAAATTTTAATCTTTGCTAGAGGAAGGAATGGCAAGAACAAAGTACCCCTTTCAAAAAATAAACGTACTAAAGTTTCTAATGCGTAATATTTGTAGAGTACATACAAACTAAACATATAATTATTGATCTCATCAGTCATGCAACATTATGTGAACCTAACCCTTTTTTATCAACTAAATTATTTATTTCTTGTTTAAAAACAAACTAATTTACTTCAGGTTTTCATAATAAATAATATTAATATACAAAAAAATAACAACATTAATAATAATAATAATAATAATAATAGTAATAATAATAATAATAATAATAATAATAATAATAATAATAATAATAATAATAATAATAATAATAATAATAATAATAATAAATAATAATAATGATAATAATAATAATAATAATAATAATAATAATAAAATAATAATAATAATAATAATTATAAAAATAAAAATAATAATAATAATAATAATCTAAATACTACTGATAATTATGATGATTAAGTTTAATGGTTTTCAAGTTTCCTAAGTTGCAATTCTCTTGAATGCCTGTAGGGACCACCACTAGTCTCTAATGGGTAACTATCACTAAACATTAAAATATAATATTATATATTAGCCATGGATAGTGAACAAGCTGTCAGTCATTTATAGTGCCACCCCCACATCAAAAAAAAATGTCTGAAAAGACAACTGTAACTGTTTAAAAGACAAAAAGAAGTATTTTTACTGAGTCCTAGTTCAACAATAAATCAAATAAACTGTTAAATCAATGTAAAATACACAATGATTGAAATATCAAATTTATCGCATAATTAAGTTATTAAAAACCCACATACGTTACGTATGTAAAATGATTGGATGATCGAAGAGAAAATGATCGTGGCATACGATTGTGCAATCAAATGACGTACTATTAAATGATAATGAAATAATTTTATGATCAAAAGATCGAATGATCAATGTTTATATGAGCAAATTATCGTATGATCAATTATGACCTTAGAATAAAATGATCTTATGATCAAATGATGGTAAGATCAAACTATCGTAATAGCCAATGATCAATTGTACATGCGAATTAATGACCATATAAATATGATCAGATGCAGAAATTTTGCGCGATCATTTTAAATCTTATTATTTACTTTCTTTCATTTCCAGTGACGTCATAATGTTTGTACTTTACGTCTAGATTGTAAAATGGTGGATGTTGAGAGAGGCGGGTATTTGATCAAAGTTAAGTTTAAACTTGTTTAATAACTTAAGTTTCAACAGTGTTTAACATATTGACCTTTATAATACGTCATGAAGTTCGCATCATAAACTGCTGGAAAGGATTAATACGTATAGTGTACAAGGTTAAAGGATACACTGTTCATGTGCTGGATGTACATAGATAACGATTACTAGGGTTACAGGATTTATTGTACAAGGATAGTAGATAAACAGTATATAGGATAAGGAAATTGATATTGATACAGGATGTGATTACAGAAAAATAAATTTAAGATAAAAAGATTAAAATGCAAATGAAGCAAAGGAAATATGATCATGTCAATACATTTTTTACAAAGTTTTCCTAACGATTACATTATAAAATTTAATTATAAAAGTTTTTTACCTAAGGAATCTGTCATTTATATCTTGGTTTGAAATATTGGTTCTGTAACTGGTTTCTAGGGGAGGCATACGGGATATCCTAGGATAGAATTTTTTTCGAATTTATAAAAACTTAATACACGTCCCAATAACCATGGAAATTCAAGGACGGGTTTAAATCCCAATATCTGATAAATGGCCTGGATTAGGCCTCGATTTAAGGTTAAAAAATGATCCCTACAATTGACGAAAAAACATAAGTTGGTTTTAAAGTCGTCATCTAACATAATTTTTATTGGGACACACTGTATTTTCTTAATATTTTATATTTTTACTTTAAATAACAGTAGCTTTAATAATATTCTCCCTATATCTTTGAAATCTGAATATGAATATAGTTGAAATATAAAGATTTAATTTGTCAGGTGTACAGATAAAAAGATTAAGAAATTAAAATTCCGGCGAGTAATAACAATTTTGAAAACTTAAAAATGTGATCGACTGTAATTAAGTTCTTGGATTATGGATATCTTATTTAAGGTTCTTAGGTGTGTACCTGGGTTCCCAGTCAGGTCTGAGCAACATGCTTGACTGGCGGCCATCTTGGAGTCCGCCATTTTGATAGTTTGGGCGGGAAAACAGCCCATGATGTTCTGACTGTACACAATCAGTAGATACAGAATAGTGCCTGAGCAGGTTTGGTGTTCTTGGTCTAAGAAGGTATGAGGAGCCGAAACGACGAGGTTGGGTCAGCTCGGTTCCAATGTGAAGATCGGGTAGGAGCTCAGTATCCGGCTCACCAGCATATCTTAACAGTCAACAAAATAAATACAAGAAAACAGAACAAGGCCTCCTTAACTATTTTGCGCTCTAATGCTTCCAGGTTTCATTTACATCCGTGAATTTAAAAGATTTATCTAAATCCGTAAAACTTGTAAAAAAAACTGTCGAGATTGTTCAATGAATCAAAGTTTAATTAAAATACCCGTTTATGCAAAACATTGAAAAGTCATCACTTTTGGTAATCATTTCAACAAAATTAAATTTTTTTAAGCCGAATAAATTTAAACTGAGAAGGAATTGAATACAAACTGTTAAATGTTTCTTAAAGAAGGGATAAGAATAAGATAATAAAATTGTAATAAAATAAAACATACAAATCAAAAGTTAGTTTTCTATTATTTGCAATAATAACTGCTTGATTTGTATTATGTTTATCCCAGTGTTTATGGCAAAAATTATATTTAAATAGTATATTTGCACTTGCTAACAGATGTAAATGTTATTGATAAAGTTTAGAATTAGACGGCTCTATATATTCTAGCCAGAGTAAAGAGAGTAAAAAAGATCTGTTAAGGGCTAGAATATGCGATATTTTCCATTGCATGTACAACTGGAGTACACGACCTCTAAAAAAACGTCTATATATATTGATATGTAATGATTCTTTGTTTACGAAATATTAAATCTTCAAAAATAGACTAAATTCAAAAATGTTATGTTTATGTTAAAGGTTAGATTATTTCTTTCAAAATTGTAAAAACCCCTGAAAGGATGGCATTCAAAAACCTTTTGTAAGAATATAGCATGTCGTGTTGGTGCGACTTTAGGCCTTCTTAGCCGAGCCCGTGAAGTTGATTCTAGCCTTTAATATGTCTCTTGACTCTATTTCATATCAAGCATTGCATGGTATTGTATTGTATTGTATTGTATTGTATTGTATTGTATTGCATTGCATTGTATTGTATTGTATTGTATTGTATTGTATTGTATTGTATTGTATTGTATTGTATTGTATTGTATTTTATTGTATTTTATTAATTGTATTGTATTGTATTGTATTGTATTGTATTGTATTGTATTTATTGTATTTATTGTATTGTATTGTATTGTATTGTATTGTATTGTATTGTATGTATTGTATTGTATTGTATTGTATTGTATTGTATTGTATTGTATTGTATTGTATTGTATTGCATTGCATTGTATTGTATTGTATTGTATTGTATTGTATTGCATTGCATTGTATTGCATTGCATTGTATTGTATTGTATTGTATTGTATTGTGTACAATACATACGCTGGGAAAACTATGACGACAGAGGAAAAAGGTCATAAAAAGCATCAACACAATTTTAAGATTGATTATTTTGAAATGTCACCAAAGATCCACAAAACAATGAAACCAATGTGTTTAAATTGAAACCTTGAAAAACCATTATATTTTCTTCCTCCCTTTCCAAGCTTGATTTATGGATATTAAAGAATAAAAGTATTAAATATATATCACAGCAATTCAAGTAGAAAAAGGAAGTACAAAGAAGGAGGAACATAAAAACATAATAATCTTTAAAAATTAAACCTAATTATAGATTGTTGTTGCTTGGACTGATTAAACGATTAAATGTTGGTTAAACAAAATTGATTTCATGAAATATATGTATCAAGGCCAGCTGTAGCATGTTGTTTATCTCAATCTCCAATCCTCCAACCCTACAATCCTCCAAATTCAAATATAAATGGAATTATCCCTCCTATGAATATCCTTCCATCCTCCAACCCCCACTATCATTTCAAGATACATTACCCCCATCCAATCCATCTTCCACCCTTCTCCCAAGATCCAAGCAATCCCCTGCCCTTCTCCCAAGATCCAATCCATCCCACACCCTTCTCCCAAGATCCAAGCAATCCCCTACCCTTCTCCCAAGATCCAACCCATCCCCCAGCCTCCTCCCAAGATCCAATACATCCCCCACCCTTCTCCCAAGATCCAATCCATTCCTACCACCCTTCTCCCAAGATCCAATACATCCCCCACCCTTCTCCCAAGATCCAATCCATTCCTACCACCCTCCTCCCAAGATCCAATAGATCCCCCACCCTTCTCCCAAGATCCAATCCATTCCTACCACCCTCCTCCCAAGATCCAATTCCTCCCCCTCCCCACAAAATCCAATCCGTCCTTCATCCTTCTGCCAAGATCCAATGCATTCTCCACCTTTCTCCCAAGATCCAATCCCTCCACTTCCTTCAATTCTAGCAATCACTCCAATGCCTTGAATCCTACATAGCCTCCAATTCTTTCATGTTTAAGACGTTTCGCCGATAACCAATAAAAAATAAAAGCAGTTGAGGTGTGTAAAGTTAAAATGGTAACCCAGAACCTTGGCACTTTTAACGGTGTCCAATAATGTCAGAAGGTATTACTTAATAACTTTTCTCATACTCGAAAAGAAAAAGGATAAGAATATTAGAGTTACCGTCCTGTTACTGTCCTTAAGCTATATCTAAAAACTCAAAAAAAAAAAACCTTATACCTGTCTGGTACAGAACTACTCCGCCCCCACGCCGCCAGTGTCGGGGGGCGTGGCTCATACTGCCGCCACAGTGGGAGGCCGCTCAGGCTAGCCAGTGTACAGACATCTTAAAAAAATATGCTTTTGAAAAGATTATTAAAATTGATTATATTAATTAGTCAACAGCTCTAGGTAAAGGGTGTTCCACGAAACATGACGGTTGGTAAATAGTTTTGAATGGCTTCTTCCATGTACTGTATTATATATAAAAGACTTTTAGAAGTTTTTTTTCTTCTACATGCTGTGACTACTGCCATAATATTTTATTATTTTTTTATTTGGTATCAAAAATGCAACTTTAACAACAAATTATGGAAGAAGGCATTTTAAACTATTCACCAACCGTCATGTTTCATGGAACCCCAGAGCCCGAATTTTAAAAGAGTATCGTTGAAGGAAACTTCTGAGTTTCCTTTTTGGGGTCTAACATTTGTGTAGATTTTGATTTAAGAGATTCGAAAAAAAATGGAGAAAATGAATAAACTAAATAAAATAATATTTCATAAAGTAAATATTGATATCCACAAAACTGCCTAACCTCATTTGTAAAACCCGGGTTCTAAAACTGGTTTTCACAACGATACCCTGTCTTAAGTTTTGGGCTCTGTAGCTAGATTGTAAAATGTACGTATCCGTAAATGTGTATGCATGTACGTCGTACAATTTTGGATTCAATAAACAGAAAAAATATTAAGAAAAATTATTAATATCATAAAAAAAATTCTTCGAAACTCAATTAATGCAGCTGACGAAAATGGTGTGAAAGGGTTAATTTATTATTTAATCCTTAAGGGACTGAATACATAACCTCTAGCGACCCTCAATTTACAGAGTGACATGTCTGATTTACAACGGTACCATTTACACCTTTATCGAGGAAGATATCGTGGTTATTTTGTCTGGAAAATTAATGAATTCTGAAAATTACCATGTTTCTCGCTGATTCCATTGAATCCGCAAATCAAATAAAGGGCAACTCAAAATAATGCCTTCAGTACATTTGAGAATTTATGATGACTAGGGTTTGGGGTGCTTCGTGCCCATCTTCTATTTAAAGTTTTAATTGTGACTTTATCTGTGAGCATCTTCTCTTTGTACAGTATAAAACAAAAACAAAAAAGTTTGCTAATTTCATAATATTTTTTTCACGCATTTTCAAAATTTTACAAAAATAAAAAACTTTTAAACACAAATTTTTAAAATTTTGATCATTCATAAACCATTCATGGGGTCACGTGAGGTCCCACGCAAAATTTGGCCCCGATCGGTTCAGCCGTTTTGACGTTTATTGGATACAAACAAACAGACAGAAAGACAAGCTAAATTTTTACATAGATGAAGGGCATAGTCTCGAATGAAAGTATGTTTCATTTTTAAGGCATGCTACAGTCTTTTTAAGTTTAAATGATAAAATAAAACCAATCAGGTCTTGTGTGGAACCTGACATGGTTCACGTAGCCTTTTTTAATAGCTCTAATGCTTCTCTGCATTATACATAATTTTTATAGTTTTAAAATGAATTAGGATTTGTGTCACAGCTGGTGTATAGTCTGATGAAGGAGAGATAGAAGTAAAGGGAATCTTTCCTTACTTATACATTATTTACAGGCTACAATCTACAATCTACAATCTACAGGCTACAATCTACAATCTACAATCTACAGACTACAATCTACAATCTACAATCTACAATCTACAATCTACAGACTACAATCTACAATCTACAAACTACAAACTACAATCTACAATCTATAATCTACAATCTACAGACTACAATCTACAATCTACAGACTGCAATCTACAATCTACAATCTACAATCTACAATCTACAGACTACAATCTACAATCTACAAACTACAAACTAAAATCTACAATCTATAATCTACAATCTACAGTCAATATTCCACAATCTACAATCTACAATCTACAATCTACAAACTACAATCTACAATCTACAATCTATAATCTACAGACTACAATTTACAATCTACAGTCAATATTCCACAATCTACAATCTATAATCTACAATATGCACTTTACAATCTCCAATCAAAAGTCTACAATATACAACCTACGAAGTAAAGTTTTCTATTATGTATAATATGATGTATAATACATATAAAAATCTACAATCTATATTCTATAAGCAACAATCTTCAGTTTACAATCTACCATCTACAATCTACCATCATACAATCTACCATCTACAATATACCATCTACAATATACCATCTGCAATATACCACCTACAATATACCATCTACAATCTAACATCTACAATCTCCCATTTACAATCTACCATCTACAATCTACCATCCAAAGTCTACAGTCTACATTCTTCAGTTTTCCAATCTGCAGTCAACAATCTTCCGACTACACCCAAAGATCTGCAATTCATTATTTTACAATCTGTGATCTACAATTTACCTTCTTCAATCTACACTGTGTGATCTATAATTTACTTTTTTTGGTCTACAACCTGCGATCTACTGTATACTGTGCTAGCTTGGGAACCCAGCTTTCCCATGAAACTAAGTAGTTTTACTGTAAAAAAGTCATCTTAAACATTTTTCAAATTTTTCAACCAAGCAAAAAACATTCCCATGGTTCTACCAAATTTCCAACCTAAAATTTGAAAGACTCGGTCAAGGGTTTCATGAGTTATGATCGGAGATACAATTGATACAAACAGACATATACCCAAACAAAGATTACTACAATCCATTAATTTTCCAACCCCGACCAGATTGAAAATACATATTTTTATTTACAAATAAGAAAAAGTTGGAAGGCGCCATTTTCTTTAAATCACCTGGCGCTCAGGCTTCAGGTGACAAAACTTGTAATTATAAAAACTATTAGAATCAGATCAGGTGATAAAACTTGTAATTATAAAAACTATTAGAATCAGATAAAACTTGTAATTATAAAAACTATTAGAATCAGATCAGGTGATAAAACTTGTAATTATAAAAACTATTAGAATCAGATGCTCAATATTAAAGAAACAAGGGAGAGAGTCCTTAATATTTCAATATTTATAGAAATATACAAGAAAAGTGCCATTTTTTATTAATTTCAATTCAAATTTTTATTTAATAATTATTAATTTTAGCTCTTCTAGTTCTGGTATTTATTGATGAAACGATAAAATAGAAATTTTAAAACAATATTAATATAATTAAATATGAGAGGAAAATAATGGATATAAATGGCGAATGTCTATAATCACAAATTTTAGCTGAAATAAATGAAATAAATATGTGTAGGCAAAACGTACAATTAACTGTTTACTGATAAAATAATAAAAGATGATAAAAAAGTAACTTAATTATTGTGAATAAAAAGATAGATTAAGAAAAAAGATTAATTTATTGATTATAGATTAAACAGATGAATAAATGAAGAATTAAGGAAAAAGAAAGTAAAATTCGTTTTTTTCGAGGCTTTATATCTTTGCAATCTGATAGCGACAACCCTTGATATTTCAAACTTTTACTTTTGGATCTAGCCAACCAAAGGTTGAGGTTTTCAGATCAAAATATTTGAGTTTGAGACAAAAAATGAAATGTTTTATGAAAAGAGTTCTTACCAATATCTTGAACTTGTTCTCACAATAGAATATGTTTGAGCAGAAGCAGTACACTGTTTACATAACTCTGACGTACACAGTTTCAAAGTTTTATTTTGTTTACAAATTGAATTAATGATTATTGATAAATCTACTAAGGTTAAATAAGCCAAGGTTGATATGCAAGCATTCTACATTTCTCTGAAAAATAAAAAATAAGAATCCTGAAATGTTTATAAAAGAATAAAGGTAGCAAGCGGCCTACTGTGACCCAATAAAGATACACCAGGAACCAAAATATCTTTGTTTACACAGAAAGTGTACTGCAGTTTCCAGGAGTGACGCACACACACTCAGTGCTACCATAGTCCAAATATCGTTTATATTCCTCCCAAAAACTGCAGTACAATCAATTTGTTAAGAAAAAACACAATAGGGTTCCTTGTGTATATTCCTTGCAATGAACTGTGTATATAATACAGATATATTTATGTATTTATTGATAACCAATACTTGAAGAAATCAAACCATTGTATTCTTTACTAAACCAGGATATATATATAACATAAATAGCTTCTAGAATTTATACATGGGGAAGGGGGGGGGGTTAAATATTGAATCGATGGAGACCTTTGGGGTAATTTCATGTGACATTCCATTTAATTAAATACCCGATTTACAACGGTATATTTTAAATCTTTGTCTGATAAGCGGGGAAGATATCGTCGGTTTTCTAGCTTGAAAAGTGTTTAATTCAGATAACTTTTTCTTTTGTTTCTTGAGCAATGAACGATTTTGTTCACAAAAACAGATTTTTCATAGATGATAGAGAAACGGATACTTTCTTGCATACGAAGCTGTCATTACTAACTAAGGGACTTCTCAATAAACATTTTTTTCGCTCACAATGAATTGATCAGTGTGCCCAGGGAGCTGATGAATTGATTAGTGTGCCCAGGGAGCTGATGAATTGATCAGTGTGCCCAGGGAGCTGATGAATTGATTAGTGTGCCCAGGGAGCTGATGAATTGATTAGTGTGCCCAGGGAGCTGATGAATTGATTAGTGTGCCCAGGGAGCTGATGAACTGATTAGTGTGCCCAGGGAGCTGATGAATTGATCAGTGTGCCCAGGGAGCTGATGAATTGATTAGTGTGCCCAGGGAGCTGATGAATTGATTAGTGTGCCCAGGGAGCTGATGAATTGATTAGTGTGCCCAGGGAGCTGATGAATTGATTAGTGTGCCCAGAGAGCTGATGAATTGATTAGTGTGCCCAGGGAGCTGATGAATTGATTAGTGTGCCCAGGGAGCTGATGAATATGATTTTTTGTTAAGCAAGTTAAATTTCAGAATTCATAGAAACAGAAAATGTATTTTTCTTGAAATATTAAAGGGACTTTAACGTAATTTTAAGCGACCCTCCATATCCCATTCACAAAGGTACCATACATGATTTAATTGTATATTCTGGTTTAAATTTTATATTCATGTTTTCTTTCTCAAAAACTAATTATTTTCATCTGTGGGTTCATTATAAAAGTGACTTGCTCGTATCATGCTTAAAACGCAATGTAGAAATTGTCAGAGTTAAACATTTTTAAAGAATGATTATCACGGGCAGCTGTAGTACATTTGAATTTACGAGCCGGGTCAATCTTTCCAGTCCCAGTTTGTACTGTACCTAGTTCCATTGACAGGACTAGCCGTCAGACTTCATGCTTCATATAGGTTGAATTTACTTTTACTAGAGGGGCAGATTTGAGTGTTATATATAATCTTATAATCTATAAGATTAATATTTCAAGGATATATATCGTTGTGAATCGGGCATGTCCTTAGATTACAATGAGAGTCCGTACCAGGTAAAGTTGAATATTAGAACGCATATATTGTTATGTTATCCAATCAGATTTGGTTCGTTTATTACTTCTCAATTTCTCATTCATACAAGACATCAAAGGCTTCACTATTCTGTGAACTGAATACTTCTGTAAGAATTTGATACGTTTGTAAATGGAAATGTATACTTGGGGAAATTTTCCTTATTTAACTTAAAATTACGATAAGTTAACTATTTGAAAATGGATGTGTAATGTAAAGTGAGAACCAGAAAACAATGAAATAGTAAGACGACATTACAGCAATTTTATGTTGTTACAAATGAAATAGTTTTACTGACACTTATTAAATCACTAATTTAGTGAAATGGGTCTGCTGTGTTTCATGACCATTGCACATTTTAAAGTTATGGCTTCATTCTATAAGTCGTCTTTCTATTTCAAAGTGTTCTGGTTACAACTGTATACATATTTAGCAGGATAGATTTTAGATTATAATTGTGGATATTTGGTGGATATTGGATACACTTTAGATCAGTATTTACGGATTATCGATGGATTTAGATCCGTAAACGGATATTTGTAGATATTGGATAGATTTTCGATTAGTTTTAAATGGGTTTTCAATAGATAGCAGTTTTGCATTGGGTTTTAATAGTTTTTTGATCGGTTATACATGGGGGTTGGATAGATTTTAGATAATTTTATCAATTTTGGATGGATTTAAGATCAATATATATAGATAACGGATATTGGATAGATTATATAGATGTTTGTATCGATGTTATATAGATTTTGTATCGCGCGGTATACATGGTTTTGGGATAGATTTCAGATAGGTATATATTTATATATAGGTATATATATATATATGTATATATAAAGACAATGGATAGATTTTTATTTATGTACATACATATATACATATGATTATTTTTATATTTGATAGATATGAAAAGATTATTTTAGATAAACATGTATATGGGATGATTTGTTCAGTATATATGGATATTAAATAGATATTGGATCGGTATTGATGGTTAAAGGTTAGATTTTAAATAGATAAATTTAGATATTGGATAGATTGTAGATAATTAAGTGTGTTTGGAAATCAGAAAGATTTTAAATCAGTATTAATAGATATATATTTATTTAAAAGATCAATGGTAGACATTTTCTAATGAATATAAGAATAAACATGTTCAGAATTGGTTAACTAAGGAATCATTATCTATGTTTATAAATAATTTAATATTCTTCTATTGTAAAACTGATTGATTTTTTCTAAATTCTTTAAAAAGCTATTTTTAAATCAAATCAATTATGATTATGATAAAATTTTCAAAGATTCAAAGAAATCGTTTGGTAATATGTTGTCTCAGAACTAGTCAGATGCATTAACTCTTTCCGGAAATCAATTTATTAATTATTAAAACTGACCCAGCAAAAACTAATAACAATAGCAATGATTTACCCTTATCTCAGTTAATCGTGATCTATTAAAATATACCCCGAATAGAAGTTTGAATTGAAGATGTTGGATTTGTTTGAATAATGAATGGTATTGGTGAGACTGAGTTTTATATTTAATCATATGCAAACATGTGATTGCACTGTTAGAAATCAAATATCACTTGTTTCACGAACTTCACTTTTATCAGTGCTCACTTCTCGTCACCTGTTCACTTAAAATGAAGTAAATAATGTGTGTTACTGGTTAAATAAGCGATTAGTTGCCAGTTTCTGTCAGTGTTGGTTCTTTAGTGTGTCCGTGTTCCTGTGTTTTCAATGGTTAAGACTGCTGCACTTACCAGAGGCTAAACCAGGGATAAATACTTTCAACAAATATATTTTTCAGGTTCAGATAATTATATCTTTTGATTTCTTACCTAAAATGATTTGGGTTGGAAGATAATAATAGTACGCTTGTCAGGTTTGTGATAAATATTCATCCCTGTGAAACCATCCAGGCAGCCTCCCCCCGCCAAACCAAACCAATTTCTCGAGGTCACGCACCGGCTTTCCCTCCTACTTCAATGAATCTGACGGAAAGCCCGCAAAATTACAAGAAAGCCGTTTTGGCGGATTTTTGCGGCGATTACGGAACTGCAGAAACTAACCACACCTTACACATCAATAAATATAAATATATTATGAGAGCTGGGTTGGTAGAGAATATATGGGTAGAGCTGTATCCTCATCCTTCTTCAAATCTAAAGAACAAATAAGATTTTGCAAATGTTACAAAAGAACAATAATAATTAGTCACACTATGCAAGTTATCGAGTAAATGAAAAGTAAATAATGTCAATCTTCATATTTTACAGATATATATATATATATAAATATTTATTTTGAAATTGTGTTTATTTATAAATATAAATATGTAATGACTCAAGTTATATATCTATTCAAGCTTACATAAAGTACAATCAGACTACACAGCGTACAAGTATTTCATCAGACAATTAGAGAACTTATGATTGTTAAACTTAGGCATGTTTTTAGCGAAATTATAACTAATTATTTGACTGACTCTGTAAATCGTTTATAGTACTTTTGATTGAACGGTCAAGGAGCGAAATTTCCTTGCTTTCGATCCTAAGACGGAAACTTTTTATGAAAGCGAAAAATGTCTCCTAAGACAGAAATTTAATCAAAAGATACAATCTTATTCCTCAAATGGAAACTTTTGATGAATAATACAACTATCTTCCTAAAACGGAAAATTTTTATGAAAGTAAAAAAATCATTCTTAATCTTTTTTATAATGAGAGAGAAAAATGTTACCGTAGACGGAAACTATTTATAAAATAAAAAAATGTTTTCCTAATTCGGGAATCGGAAACTTTTAATGAAAGATACCATTATTATCTTCCTATGACGGAAAATTCTGTAAAGTGAATAATGTTTTCCTAGAAAAAGGAAACTTTTGATGAAAGTGAAAAATGTTTTTTTTTAGGACGGACACTTATGATGAAATAGAAAAAATAGTTTCTAAAAAGAACAGTTTTACTGAAAGTGAAATATAATTTCCCACAACGTGACGGACACTTTTGATAAAAACGAATAATGTCGATTTTTTAGGAATTATGTGAAGAGAGGGATGGATGTGTCTGCTGATTATATTTTAACTGTAAAGCGGGAGGGAGGGGAGGACGTAAAACTTAGCGCGTTATATTGAGATTAGAAATACAAAAGTTATATAAATATTAGTAAAGTATCTCATTGTTCCAAAATCTCCAAAGTTTAACCGATGAGAGACGGATTAAGGATTAGAGTCTAGAGATAAATTCAGGAAACTTTTTACTTCCATTCACCTCTTTTCGTCTACTACACAGATATTTAATGCAAACAAAATATTATTTTAAATTTCGAA